AGACCTAAGCCTGTGAGTCACCCCCGGCTCTCCCTGCCACCAGAGGGGACGGGGACAGCCCGTGTCTGGTCTCCTTGGGTCCCTACCCCCCACCCTCAGGGGTGTCTTATAACCAGGGCACAGTCTCCACCAAGATTAGGAGTACGTGCTCAGACACACACACGGACTTTGCAAACAATGCAGGGAAATAAAGTTCTCACAGGAAACATTATCATACTGACTCACGACAGACCCATCCATAAAACAAACTCCTGGTACCTGGGGCCGGCTCCGAGAGAGCAGCCCGGGAGATAGCAGGCCCGCTCTCCCCTGGGCCCCGGAGGAAGTGGGTGCCGCCGGGGGGAAGGGCAACTTCCCCTCGCTGCCCCGATGGTGGCCTGGGATCTGAACTATTTGTCAAAAAGAGGAAAAAAAAAAAGGATTATTTTTAAAAAGAAACACAAGTCCCAGAGCATGATAGCCTCTTTGCCTTGTCACAAGAGCCCTGTTGCAAAAACGTCTTTTAACGCCGTGGTGTTTTGCAAGTCGTTCGCCATGCCAGTGCCGAAAGCATCAGCGTCTCCAGGGACCTGTGTCTTCGTCAGCCCTTGCTCGGCCCCGCAGGCTTGACTGGGCCCGGCGTGGAAAGAGATTTTTGCTCCAAGTCTGTTTTCAGATTTGAGAAGGCAGCTTGATGCGTCTTCCAGACATCAGATGGGCAGTTCTCTTACCTGTTTGGAGCCTCGGTTTCCTCATCTGCAACACGGGGGTAGTCACGAGAAGGAAAGCATGGCTACCACATGGCTCCGTGTTCGTTTTCCTGAGCCTCTGTGCCAAGCAGCCTGGAAACGCGACTGCTCAGGAATCTGAAAATCCCCGTCCAAGTCTTGGGGATTTCTTTCTTAATCCTGGGATGATTAAGCCTGGGCCCCCATCCGTACCTCCATCTCCAGCTCTGGAAAAGCAAGGGGTCTAATCAGCCCCGATCTGCCTGACCCCCAGGGAGCGACAATGCTGTGAGGGGAGCTGGCCCGTCAACCAGGCTTAGGACACTGGCTCATGAGGGGTTCAAGTACCAAGGCGATCGACGGGGCCCTGCCTGAGCCCTGGCCATTTTCACATCCTAGAACAATACGTGTGCCTGGGATCGGCCCTGAGGGGGAAGAGGGTCAGCACCCCCTCTGGTTGTGGGGAATAAAATGGGTCACTACTGGGAAGGGTTCGCACCCTCCTCCTTCGGGCCCTGGCACACCCTAGCCTCCCCCCAGGAGTACTGCCAGCCGACCTCCATCCTACGAACACAGCGTGGTGTTGACACGCCGCACGTCCTCGGGCCACAGCTGGCACTAAGGCCCTGCTGAAATCGCTCCTGGCCTGGTTTCTCCATCCAGTCCCCCTCACGGTGACCACGGTGCTCTCAAGAACATACTCTAACCAAGTCACACCTCTGCTCGAAACCCTGCAGTGGCTGAGGCCCAAACTCGTTATTTTGGCCCTCAAGGTTCTTTAGGGTATGGCCTCTGCTGAGCTCACCAGCTTCCTTCCCTCCCCCCATTTCTCTCACCCCCCCTGGGCTCTAGACTCGCTCAAGGACTCACAGTTTCCTCATCCCGCCGTGGTTTCACATCTCAGTGCCTGATGCATGCTCTTCTCACTGGTAGGTTGTTCCTTTTGTTATCATCTAACAAGCTTCTATTCATCCTTCAAAGCCCAACTTCAATGTCCCCTTTCCTGTCAGATAGCCCTAAACCACCTTCCAAACAGTGCCTTTCTGTGCCCCGGCCCTCTTTCTGGTGTCCGCTATCACACCATCTTATCATTTCCTTCTTTATAGATCTGTCTCCTGCGTGGGACCACAGGCTTAGTAGGTTAGGAATTGATTTCTGAGTACTTTGTCTCAAACCCTTAGAATTTCCTCACCACATTTAGGAAATTTCCACCACGCCCCTGCCCCCAGCATGGTGACTGTGTAGACTGTCGCTGTTTGAGGAATCTCTGAGGTCGCTCAGATGTACAAGCAAACGTCCTGCAAGCCAGCCAGCGGTGCCTTCAACCTTTAGTAGCTTGTTTTTCTACCAAAGAGATGCCAAGCAGGTCTGCAGCGGCCAGTGCACTAATGGCAGCTGACGCGTGCCCGTGTTTTTAGAAAGGTTTTAATGTGTAACTGTTTCATTCTTCCCAGGGTGATATTTTCTAGGCGATAGAGATATTTTGTTAATAACACACTTCTTTTGTGTTGGAGGTAAAGCAGGGAATGAAAAGCCAACGCACCACCACCACTTCCGCACAGTGTTTTGCCAGCCCCTAAGTCAGCTCAGAGGATGAGAAATAGGATGCATTTCAGCCCGAAGGAATGAATGCCTAGGGATGTATGTCTGTCAGGCAGAGTCGTCTGGAGCACTTCCTAGAAATCTTGACCTGTCCCTGTCAGTGGGGAAGGCTAATTAAAGGAAATAAAAGACCAGTAGCCAGGAGATTCCAATGTGCTGGAAAAACAAAGGCAGCCAACCTGCAGACTGCGAAGTCAGCTCTCTGCTTTGCCCCTGTCTGGCTCCCCCTCCCATCCAGCCCAACACTCTTTCTTTTCTTGGCCTGATTTGCCACCAGCAACATCTACTTGTCTTGTCTCTGTTCACCCCAAGGCAGAACATGCAGGGCCAGGCAGCTGACCGCAGTGGTTCAGAATGAGGGCAGGGAAATGCAAATTTAAACTACTAGACACCTCTATTCCTCCATCAGAATGACTAAAATGAAAAAGACTGACCTGGGGCACCTGGGTGGCTCAGTCCGTTGAGCATCCGACTCTTGTTTTCAGCTCAGGTAGTGATGCCGGGGTCATGGGATCAATCCCTGCATTGGGTGAATGTGTAGCCTGCTTGGGATTCTCTCTCTTTCCATCCCTCTGCCCCTCCCCTGCTCCTGCTCTCTTTATATATTAAAAACAAACAAACAAACAAACAAATAAATATAAAAAGACTGACCTTAGCAAATGTTGGTGAAGATGTGGAGCAACTAGAATGCTCACACGCTTCTGATGGGAATGCAAACTGATGCAGTACGGCACTTACAAGGTCAAGTGCACACCTGACCATATGAGCCAGCCAGCCACCCCTAGGTACTTTCAAAAGTGAAATGAAAACATGTAGCTACACAAACATCTGTAGATGAATGTTCAGAGCGCCATGATTCATTCACATGAGCCCAAAAGTAGAAAGCACCGAAAGGTCCATCAACAGATGAATGGATGCAACAAAATGTGGTCTGTCCCTACGGACGGCAAAATGTGGACTATTATTTGGCTGTGAGAAAAAGGAACGAAGTACTGATAGATGTTATAACATGGATCAACCTTGAAAATATTATGCCAAGCAAAAGAAGGGAGTGACAAAAGACCACGCATTGTAAGATTTCATGTACATGAAACGTCCCGAATAGGCAAATCTAGAGAGACAGAAAGTAGATCAGTGGTTACAGGGGCTGGATGGAGGAAAGAGGAATGACTACTGATGGGCAGGGCATCTGTTTCTGGGGTGCTAAAGATGTTCTAAAATTGACTGCGGTGACACTGTGAATATAGTAGAAAAAACCAACCACGCCCTTTCAAAGGGTGAATTGCATGGTATTCGAATGACATCTCCATAAAGCTGTCCCATGCATACCTATGTCCACATGGTGGTGAGGACCGTGACTGCAGCCCAAAGCAAGCATGCAGGCAGTGTGAGGAGCGCCATGACGAGACCTGCAGATTGGATCTGGTCGTGGGGTCTCGGTGGCTGACAGCACTGACATCCTCACTGGATCCCTTTGCTTGGAGGCTGGGCATGTGCCCTCCAGTCCTTTGCTGGGCACACAGGATTTGCTTATTACACAGTCTGCCTGGCTTAATGTGTCCATCTCTGCACCAGGTCAGGGGGCCCTTGGATACCCGGGGCAGAAGGGACATGGCCCCGACCTAGACTGAGTTCCTCTAGAAGCCACTGTACCTCACCCTTTCACTAGTGTTACATCATGAAATGCCGCAACGCTGGCAACTAAGGCTACTGCATCTATGAACTGGCAGAAAGTGAATCCTGGAGGGGGCCCCACGGTGCGTGTGAGAGGAGTCTGAGGTGCTGCTGCTCCCTCTTTTGTATAATCGCAACAGCAGAGAGCATTTATGAAGTGCTTACTACATGCTGGCACAAGTATAAATCTTAGTATGTCACGTCTCCTTTGATTCCGACCCTAAGGGGGCATCCAGGATTAGCCCCCTGTGTGCCCACTGGTGATTGTACACCTTGTTCAAGGCCACCCAGAAGTAAGTGGTAGAGGGGGGAGAGGAACCCTAGGCAGTCAGGCTCTAGACCCGCAGGTGGCCTCCCTGAAGTCACAGTGGGGAGCCGAAGGGCCTGAAGCCTTACCTGCTCCTACTGCACCTGTATCAGTAGAAGGCAGAGAGTGGGGAGGACGCAGCACTTGCCCGAGGATCAGGCAGCCAGAACAGGCCATTCAGCCCCGTGACACCGGAGCCAGCCACACTGGCTACAGATCAGGGGCGCAAAGGAGCAGAGTATTTACCCTGTGATGGGCAGGAAGGACAGAGAAGTGCCACAGGTGTTTCTGTCCTGAAGAATTAGATCGGGGATATTACCAGGCAGAAAGGGGGCTTCACACTGATGGAGAGGGTGCTAGGGAGGAAGGGAGAGGGAGGGGAGGGAGGAAGGGAGGGGAGGGGAGGGAGGAAGGGAGGGGGAGGGGAGGGAGGAAGGAAGAAAGGAAAGTTTTCTCAGCTCAGTGAATATTAAGATGAATGGTTTTATTTCTTGGTTGTTTCGTTGGTCGGTAGGTTGGTTTTCAGGGTCATGGGTAATGGACAAAGCATAGGTTCACTTGCCTGGTCAAAGTCCCTGAACTTCCGTACTGAAGAAAACCCCGGCAGCCAGGCGTGTGGCTCCTGGAGACCCCACCCTGTCCAATTCTTCTTTGACCTTTCCACTGCATCTTCCACTCTACACCCATTGAACAGAGACGCAAGACCAAGATTTTGATTTTGAAAGGTTTATTCAGTTACAGGATGTTAGGCGAGGCTCACTCGTAGTGATAGATACAGGTCATTTTCTTATGCGCAACTCGTTTTAAATGGTATGTAATAAGTCCAAAAAATTGACTTATTAAGTGATGTAATGTGGATAATGTCATTTCCAAGTACTAAGAGAAAGAGTAGCTGGCGTCCTTGAGCAGCCACTGCCTGCCAGGGGCAGAGCGAGGGCCCGTGCACGTCATCCTCCGAGCTCTCCGCGTGCTTACGACGTTAGCTCTGCTTCCCCCATCTTACAGGTAACCGACTAGCGGCCTCCCGGGGGGGAGTCGTGTCACACAGGGCACATAAGTGCCAGCTCTTGAATTCTCCAGTCTTTGAGAGTGGAAGCTCTTTCTTTTTATCTCTTTTGGCCTTTGCTGATGCCCAGTGATAGGGCTTTCTACAACTGGGCCAACTTCCCCTGTCAGGCTCTTTACCAAACATTCCAGGTAGACTTATCACGCTGTGGGTTACATAGGAAGTTCTCCTTCATTCCATCTGCTTCACAGCCTAAAAACAAAACGAACAGGAAACTGTATGCATAAAAAAAATATATATGAATTCAATTGTATCAATCAAGAAAAGTCTGTAGAATTGTTTAAAAATGTATTCATAAATTCCTTTTACCTCTGTGCTTCATTAGTGCAAATGACATACCCTGTTCTGGTATCAGGGCCGCAGCTGTTGTTACCCAGCTGTTGTCTCTGCATCCTGGCCGTTCCCCTGCTCACTGATGCCTCTCTGGACAGGGCCGAGGCCGTGTGCTGGCACGGCAGGTGGAGACGAGGAAGACCCAGGCCGCTGGAGGCCATCGGGCCTGCTCGTTAGCTAGCAGTGAACGCAGGGCCTTCTTGGAGAAGCACTGTGAGGAAGGCTTAGATGAAAGGCGTGAGAGTGTAGAGAAGGAAAAAGGCCTTTCTGTCTCAGGAAACCAGCAAGGCTGAAAGACGGGCAGGAAACAAATGGGGAGACACCGTGAGGAGGGCCGAGGGCCCAACTTCTTTCTCACTATCATTGCTGCTACCATGGATGGCCACATGCCAGGCACCTCATCCCCATTACATCACTTAATCCTCAGAGCAACCCACAGAGGCAGCGACTACTACCGCCTCCTTCTTTGGAATGCGCGATCTGAAGCTCTAGGAGGTGAAGCCCTTGCCCAAGGTCATCCAGGTAAGTTCCAGAAGCAGGCTTTGAGTCCAGGGCTATCAGAAGCCAGAGCCCCTGCTCTTTAGAGTGATTTACCATTTTCAAAGAACTTTCAAATTCGTTATCCCATCTGATCTTCCTGTACCCAGAGTTTCTCTATGTCTCACCAGCCTGTTGGCACAAATGAGTCACCCTACCCGTAACAGTGTGCGTTTTGCTTGCCCGGCCCCTCCCCCTCCTTTGCTCACCCAGTTCTCTGGCCACCTGCAAAGCCTCGCCCACCTCTAGCGAGAGTCCCAGGGGGCATCTATGGTCACCTTTTCCTCCACTGCTCCCCCCTTAAAGTTCACTGCCCAGGAAGCTTATGGAAGGTCCCACCAGTCTGTGCAGACGTGCCCCCTGTGAGAATCCTTCCTCAGCAAGTCCAGCCTCAGGACCCTACACGAGGTGTGTGACCTCAGCTCAGCTACCCCTGGCCTGCTCCACCCGCCCCCGTGAGCCTCAGTTTTCTTATCTGGGAAAACAGAGAGGTCAGTTCACTTCCACTCGTGTTCCCTGAGCAGAGGCTAAATGTAATGGTGAACCGTGAAACCAAAGGAAGGGAGTGAATCAGGCCAGGCCCTCGATAAGACACACACATAAGCAATTATACCCCCAAGCCCCATGTGTGGGGCGTAAGGGCCACAGGGGAGTCAGACTGTTGTGGGAAGGGCCATTTCTGGCTGGGGAGAGGCCCATATGGCGGCCATTCACGGAGGCCTTAACATACACCAGATCCTAGGCTCAGAGCTTTACCCGCGTTAACCTATTTAATCCTCCCCCAAAGCCAGTTGAGGCAAAGGCCAGAAGCATCCCCATGTTAGAGAGGAGACGGAGGCTCAGGGAGGCGAAGTCATTTGCCCAAGTTCACACAGTTCGTAGGTGGTGGCAGAATTAGGTCCGACAGCCCCGAGCTCTTAATTGCTATCTTCACAGAAGTGGAGCCAGTAAACTTGGCCTTGTAAATTAGCTCAGCCCTGATGCTGCTCAGCTCCATCCTTCCCATGTTATGATTGTAGAATCACACATTGTTTCCCCATCTGCACAGTCAGCTGGAATAGAAATTCCTGGAGCTCAAGTAAAACCATGGGGATCGTCTCTGAAATCATGGAAAAACCTCAAGTTCATGGTCAGGGCTGTTTCATTTGAAAGTTTTTCTCCCGTGCAGTTTTCAGAAAACTTGGGAGCCCTGTGTCCCTTGTTCGTGCTAGACCTCAGCCGACAATGGTATTTGGCTGATCAATAATAATCATAACCGTGAATATCATGGAGCACTTCACATGCACTGCCTCATTTCATCCTGACAACAACACGCAGAAGGTATTTGATCTCTGTTTTACAGAGAAGAGAACCAAGGCTCAAAGAGAGGAAGTGTCTTTCCGGAGGTGACCCGGGCAGTAAACAGCTGGTCCTTGAAACAGGTCTGGTGGCCCTAAAATTTGCCCTCCTATTCATGACTTGTATGCGTTTCTCATTTTCCATGGTCTCAGGGATTCTCAACCGAGGCCGCCCATTCAAAGTACCTGGGATACTTATGGTGAGGCCCATCCCAGACCAATTAAATCATTCTCTGGGAATGGACTCAAGCAAAAACCTTGGCTCTAAGACATGCCTGTTGTTCTACCAAGAGCCTCAGCCAGACCTAGAACTTCAGAGAGAATTGGATGGTAGGAGGAGAGAGGAAATTTACCTGATTCTTCTTCCCCTCCCTTCCTCTTCCATCTCCTCCCTTTCCAGCCACTCAAGGGACTGGCCTCCAGCCTCACTCTTGAGCTGAGATCATTTGGCCTTTAGGATAAGATTTCTCTGTGGCCCCTACTCCACACTGTGCCTCAGAAGCCTGGCACATAATAGGTGCTCAGTAAACATAGTAGGTGGTGAACAGATCATGAAGAGACCCCTCCAGCCATTCCTTCCAGGCAGGTGAGATTGCATGGATCTATTCCGCTGGAGTTTAAAAAGCATGCACCGGAAGGAGACTTGCCTGCCCCCAGCAGGTAGCACAATGCTCCCATCAGCCACACACGAGGGTGCCCTCTGCACCACCTCCTTCCCAGCAATAGGTATTAACTTAAAAAAAAAAAAAAAAGAAAGAAATCCTTTCTAATTTAATGGGTAGCAAACAATCTCGGTTTTGGTTTGAATTTACATTTCTTTGAATACTGGTGAGGACGAACATTTTTTTCATGTGCTTATTAGTCATTTGTATTGCTTCTTCTGTGAATTGTCTGTTCCCAATTTACTAATTTACAACGAGAAATGTAACTGCCAAGGGGACCGGATACACGTGTCCTCCAGCCAACACACCAGCTCCCTGTAGGCACACGCCTCAGGATGCCAGATTCTAATCAGGAGATGCTTGGTGAGCACAGAATGAGCAAATTCCAGGATTTAAGGCAGCAGGGCAAGCTAGACCTACGCCGGGCTCCACAGAATCCCTGACCGTGGCATCCTCCCTCCTTCTCTTTCCTCTGACTCCCTGGCCACCCAGCCCTTCTTCAGAAGGACCCTTCTTTCTTTAGACACATTACTACATTCATTGTAGGGCTTCCACTGGCCTACGATCCCTCCTTGGTTGTGTGCTTGAACTCTCAAGGCAATCCTCATCCCGAATTCCTGCACCTCCTTGGACCGCCTTCCCATTTCGTGGGGACTTACAGAGTGTAGCCCATAGCTTTGGGGGCGTCTGCTCCTCTCCTTGTTGTACTGGAATTGCTCGCCTTCTATAAAGTGAAAGTAGTTTCAGGGGGCCCAGACCTTCCACATTCAGAACGTTTACGTACTAGTGCCTTTTCCAAGCCCTTCCGTAGACTCTCCCGGGGGGCCTCTGACTTCTGCACGGTTAAGATCCATCGCTGTAGGAGACTCAGAGTGGACGGGAAGGTATAAAGGGCAAAGCCCAAAGAAAAAGAACTAGAGGAACCAGAAAGAGGGGATCCGGCTGGGTGTGTGGTCTGGGGGTGCCTGGGGCAGGAGAAAGGACTTTCGGCAGGCAAGACCTGGGTTTCTCTGACCTTGAACGTGCTGCAGTCTCCTTCCTGCTGGCCTCCAGCGCTCTTTACCCTCCTCTACCCCAGGCCTCCAGAATGATCCTCCTAAACCAAATCTGAAAGACTCAGTCCCCTCCTTCCCCCCTTCCTGTGTGCCCACTACCCGTGGGACAAACCCCACATTCCTGAGGACAGCATGCAAAGTCCTTCATGGCCTGGCCTCAACCTTCCCTTCCCGGTGTGCTGCTTTTCCCCAGCAGACCGCTGGATGGTTCCTGAATCCGCCGTGCGTGTTCACACCTCCGGGCCTTGGCTTGGGCAAGGCCTTTCTGCCTGGGATGACCTCCCCGACTTGGCCCACTCCTTCTTGTTTTTTAAGATCCAGCTCAAATGTCCATTCCTCCCTGGAGTCTTTCCTGAGCCCCTTCCTTCCTCAAAACCTTTCACTAAGGCATTTACCACTTTTATGAGAGTGTAGCTTTTCCGAGCACCCTCCTCTCCTAGACCAGAAGGACCCTGACATCAAATACAGTGTCCGGTTTTTCTGGGGGTCCTAGAGCCCAGCATGGTGCCACACGTAGTAAGGCTGAATGAACGAGAAGTTCTCTGTTGCAGACTTGCCCGTGGGGAAGCCGCATGCAGAGAGAATCAGGAAGTCAGGCTCTGGTTCTTACCCTCTGGGGCCTTGGACAAATTCCTTCTTCTCTCTAGTCCTCAGTTCCCTTCTCTGCAGGAAAGCACTGGGACCTGACTATCTACAAGGTTATTTATTAAAACCACCTCTGTACAAGACACTGTTCTAGAAATAAACACATTATAACAATCACACATAATGCATATAATATATGCATTGTATAATACACATTGTATATATTGTATGTATTTATTATACAATAATGTACATAAATATTTCTGGTAGGATGAAAATATAAAAACAAAGCCCCTTAAAGTTACATGCCGTCTAGTTCTGGAACTGAGGAAAGCAAGACTAAGACCTCTCCCGGGGAGAGAGTTTTCACTTTGGGGGAACAGCGTATTTATTTCATTCCAAGAAGCATCATGCTGCCTTGGCCCCAAAGAAATAGTGTGGTGAAGTGAGACAAACGTGGATGTGAGAGGCTGGCAGAACCCAGCTCAAGTCTCCTGCGTTCTGCACTCCTCCGTGTGACCCTTAACAAGTCACATTAGTTCTCTAAGCTCTGAAAGCTGGACATTGCCCGGCTACCCCCAGAGAGCTGCTGTTAGGACTCAGCTGGATGTAGAACACCATGAATGTCAGAAGTCCTTTCCTTTTACTCCCAAGGAACGTAAGCTAAAAGGAAAGGGAGCGTGGACCAGAGACTCAGTCCTTAGCCTCAGTTTTCTCATCTGCCAAGAGGGCTGATTTGAGATGAAGTGAGATTGTGGGTGCAGTCATCCATGTGTTAGCTTCCCTCCCAGCCATGGCCGCGGGCTGCAAAACCCCTGCTCTGTGTTCTTGGGAAGAAAGCTCGAAACAAGGGATTCAGAGCTCTGGAGACAGCTGAGAAGGAAGCACAGTCAAGAAAAAGAGTCAGAGGAAGGGCTGTGGAACACGTGATGATTTGCCTTCTCCCATCAGAAAACGCTCTTAAACAAACAGCAAGTTTCCTCCATTAATAAGGCCTGTGGAATGCAGATGAGATTTTTTTTTTCCTCCTCCTTTTTTGCTGATTAAGTTCCCCCAAAACCCCCTTAAGAATTTTAATAAGAAATGCAAAAATCAACAAAAGTCCTGCAAACCCTTTCCTGTTATTAAGTAAAGGGAAAGTAAATATTGCAAATTGGACATATTTCATAAGAGGATGTTTTGTTTGGGAAAAAAAACGAGAAAGAAAGAAAAAGCCATTTGCTTTCTGGCAACAAATACAAGTCTTTGCTGAATTTTGGTTTCAAATTTGATGACTGAGGCATTATTGCCAGCTTGCCTGGAATCCAGGCCTTTTAATATCTGAGGCAGACACAGCCAGGAGTGCAGGAAGGCCCGGTTTGGGCCATGGTGGGCTTCTCCCCTGTCTCCTGTGAACAGAGTAGAGAGTTGTTCAACCACCAAGAAAATTATGATCCTCTCAGGGGTCACACACAAGACAAAAGCAACTTGGAACAAAGAAGAATTTTATGAGAAAGTAAAAACCACAAAATGTTCTCTGTACCTCCTTTATAGGATAAGAGACCTTTTATGAGACTATAAAACATATTGTATCAAGTCCTGCAGTTAGGTGGACATGGATTTAAATCCCACCTTTGTCATTTCTTAGCTGGGTTACCTTGGATAAATTACTTAACCCCTCCGTCTCGCTTTCCTCTTCCAAAATGGGGAGAATAGAGGGGCGCCTGGGTGGCTCAATCAGTGAAGCATCTGACACCTGATCTCACAGTTCGTGGGATCGAGCCCTGAGTGGAACAGTTGGAGCCTGCTTGGGATTCTCCCTCTCCTCTCTCTCTCTGCTCCTCCCCTGCTCACTAAATAAATAAACATTTTTTTTAAGGGGAGAATAGAAGTATTGACTAATAGGCCTGTTATGAGGAATAAATGAGTGGAGAAATGAGCCAAGGCAAGGAAAGTGCTAGGCTCTCTATGTATCTCATATTATTTTGTGTAATACACAAATGAAAAGGAAGAGGAAAAAGAATTCTCTATTTCTTTATAGCGATCGGCAGTTTGCAAAGAACATTAGCACTCGTGACTTTACGCGCCTGCGAGCGCGGCCCCAGGAGACGGGCAAAGTGAGATTACCCTTAGCTTGTGGCTGGAGCACCTGGGCCTGGAAAGTGGGTGTGACCCCGCCAGGACTCACATGAAGAACAGTCTGTGACCATAAGGGCAGAGAAATGACCAAAGGAAAGGAAAGGAGGGAGAGAAGCCAGAGGGTGTGGCCATTTGCAGCCACAGAGAAGCCACATCTGCCCCAGGGCCCCGACCCCCCTCCTCTCCTGTCCCCCTTTGGGGCTCCTGTGACCTCAGCTAGCACTGGCTTCTCCCTGGCAGGGACAGCAGTCACAGCATGGTACAGCCACGTGTAGAAGGCCAGGATGGGCTCTTACGCGGAGATGCCGGTGCCTTGGACCCCGCTGGCCACATTCCCGTCGCAGAGTCCTATCGGGCCACAAGCTGTCTGCCACTGCCCCTGATCCCGTCTCCCGGGCGCCCCTCAGACCCAGGGTACCGGCAACCGCCCTCATCAAAACACTGATGCCAAACAGGACAAATATTTTGGTTTTGTGGTTTTCAATCCTTGTATTTCTTTGTGTACCTGAAGCATCTTTTTGTGCAAAAATTGAAATCAGTGAAGAAACACAACAAATAACTTGACAATCACCTATATTCCCACGGCCATATTTGCTTCCAGTTTTGGTTTGTTGGTTTGTTGGTTTGTTTTTGCCCAGTGCAGGGCTTGAACTCATGATCCTGAGATCAGGACCTGAGCTGAGATCAAGCGTCAGATGCTTAACTGACTGAGCCACCCGGGCGCACCCCCGCCCCCACCCCCGCTTTTTAAAATTGCAAACCATCATGCCTTGTTTTTAAAAATTCTCTGTATGATATCTCTTTGAACATCTGTGCCCAAGATTCTCTAAGGAATTTACCCCTCAGTCAAATGTGCTGGATTGTTAAGAACCAGACAGGAGTAGGCATACCTGGGATTCATTCCCCCTCTCGTGCTTACGCCCTGTATGACCTTGGACAAGTCATTTCACCTCTGTGAATCTGTTTTCTTACCTACGAAGTGGGTATATGATAATTCCTAACTCAGTGGGTTGATGTGAGAAAATTGAGACTATCTCTAAAAAGCAGCTGGAATACAGCAAACGGCAGGAGCCCGGTAGCTCTCACCGTTCATGTTACAGAGCTTTCTAGCAACCAAAGAAGGATGGAAAGGCACACCCTTTGTGTTTTGCACAAGGGACCTGGGCGCAACAAAACAATGCGTGCGAGGCTTGCCCAACCCACCTTTACCATATGCTGTCGGCTCTATCCCTGGGCCTGGCCTGGTGTCAGCTCCCCAAATAATTGAGCAAATGCACCTCTCAGCATCTCAGTTTCCTTGCCTGTAAAATGGGCTAACACCTACCACACACGGCTGTTGTGAGTCCCCAATGCTAGATAATAAACGCAGGGCACTTGTTAAAACGGTGCCCTTTCCGGCTCACCCTGGACCGTTTCTCTCTCTTTCAAAGCAGTGAAATTACCTGAGGTTTCGTCTCACTGTCAGCGTCAAGCTGGGCTGTCGGTAGTTTGATTTTGGTTTCCCAGCCCTTGGACTTTGCTTTGCGGATGCCGCAAGTCAACACGCGGCGGTTTTGCGAGGTCCCGGTGTTTGTTTTTCTCCCTGGAAATTGTGTCCAGGAAAGGCCGGGCGCTTTAAATTTGCTAAAATATCTCCATCTAGTGGGCTCGCTGCGATACTGCAGAGTTCGGCCCTGTCTGGGAAAAACAATGGGGCGACGTCTAGGGCCGCCCTGCCCTGCTCAGAAACGCCAGTGGCTCCCCATTGTCTACTGGGTAAAGTCCAACTGCCAAGCCTGGAATTCGAGCGCCTGCACAATCGGCCCCCGCCCTGCCTATCGGACCTTATCGGCGGCGGCGACCTCCTGCCCCGCCAGCCGGCCCAGCTCCTCCCCTCCAGCACCTCAAAACCCACACCTGCTCGGCACGCGGATCTGCCGCGTGCCCCAGCCCACTGTCTCCCTCCCCTCCTCCTCCCACTCTCTCGAAGCGAACCCCGCTTCCAGGCTCCGCTCAAGGCCACCTTTTCCCGGAAGACCCCCTGGCCCTCCAACCCATCCAGACCTTCCCTGACCTCCCACCAACGCTTGTTGTTGGCTACTTTTGTAGTTCATATTGGAAGCTGTGCTCTGTCAGTGCACTGCCCTCTCGTGTCCAACGCGGTGGATTAAAACGATCTCAAGCCCTGTAGTCCCCCAGGATCTGGGCCCTTATCCCGCCTTTACCACTTCCCAGCTCTGGGAACTTGGAAGAGAGAGAGAACCTCAACTGTGAGATAGAAGTGAGAACACCTGTCTTACAGGGCTGTGGTGAGAAAACAGTATGCCAAGAGACCAGCACATATAAACACCCAGCAAATCATCATTAGAGTGGTCAGATATACGGGGTATATATACAGGATAAATACAGGATACCCAGTTGAACTTGAATTTCAGATAAACGATCTTTAAAATTTTTTTATTCTAGAGAGAGAAAGAGAGCACGAGCAGAGGAAAGAGGGCAGAGGGGGAGAGAGCAAGAGCGAGAGCAAGAGAGAGAGAGAATCTTAAGCAGGCTCCACACTCAGCATGGAGCCCAACCTGCGACTTGATCCCACGACCCAGGGATCACGATCTGAGTGGAAATCAAGAGAACACTCAACTGACTGAGCCACCCAGGCACTCCAACGATTTTGTGTTTAGTATAAGTATATCCCAAATATTACATAGAGGTTCCATGTAACATTTCACAGATAAATGATGCTAAGGATTATTGTTCATTTTTTTGTTTGCTAATGATGTCGGGGATATACACACACACGCGCACACACACTCACACATACAAATTGGCGGATTCTGTCTTTGAAAATTCACCTACTGGCTAACATTTATTTGTAATGACAAAATCAGTATTCATAGCACCTGGCTGTTTACAGACATGCACATGCAGAGCACAGAAAAATCTGAGCCTCCCAATATGCATGTTCCCAGCCGAAGTCAACAGTCGATATTCTTCTTGTTTCAACTCTCAGACTGTAAATAAGTTTGCTTTTGGCAGTTTCTTTAGTACCACATTTTTTCTCATTTTGGTGCTTTCTGTTGGTGATTTCACTGTTTAAAATGGACACCAAGCAGAGTGCTGAAGTACTGTCTAGTGTTCCTAAGCCAATAAGGCTGTGATGTACCTTTCAGAGGAAAAATACCTGTGTTAGATAAGCTGCGTTCAGGTATGAGTTACAGTGCTGTTGGCCATGAGTTCAATGTTAATGAATCAACAGTAGATATTAAATAAAGTGTCTTTAAACAGAAAGCAAGGTTATGTACTGATCCGTTGATAAAAATATTGTGGCCAGAGTCTGTCAAGAACCTAACCCTGTATTTCCGCATGAGCAATAGTTCGGTGTTCATGGTGACTCTGTAGAACTGTGAATAATAAGAATCAATTATATATCATATCTATGTATATACAAACTTATGAACTATGCATTTGAAATATATATAATATGCAATAAAATGTAGCTATTTATCTATTAGAGATACACGCAGAAATATTATGAGTGAAATTAAATGATGTCTAGGATTGCTTTCAAATATTACAGCAGTGGGATAAAGGCATATATAGGCAGAGTATAAAAGACACAAGATAGCAAATGTTGAAGATTGTGGAGGTGATGATTTATTAGAATATTCTCTCTACTTCTGTGTTTGAACATGACTATTATAACAAAAGGTTTTAAAAAACACGAAGAGAAAATCTTGGGGGATGAGTATCTTATTCAGTAGCTTTCACTCTAGACCTCTGTGGGGACAGGGCTCTCTATGATGCCACCTGAGATCTCCTTACAGGCGAATGCCACGCCCTTGAATGCAGAGTATCACGCTGAGAGGTCCCGGAGACATGGCTGTAGCGTCGGGGGCACCTGAGACTTGCTCTGCCACCTCTGGCAACAAACAGTGCCTCTGAACCATTCTTTTCTTATCAGTTAAATAAGGAAATTGAACTGAAGAACCTCTGGGCTCCCTTTTCCTTGTTAAAACGTTCTCATTCTAGGAGCACCTGGGTGGCTCAGGCAGTTAAGTGTCCGACTCTTGATTTGGCTCAGGTTATGATCTCATGGTTCCTGAGTTCGAGACCTTTGTTGGGCTCTGTGCTGACAGCGTGAAGCCTGCTTGGGATTCTCTCTCTCCCTCTCTCTGTCCCTCCCGCACTCCTGCTGTCTCTCAAGATAAATAAATAAACTTTAAAAAAAAAAAGAAACCCTCTCTCATTCTAAAACCAGTATTTCCTAAACTGGAATGTTCTGGTAGTCCAATATTAGAGCCTCCCACCAGCTGCCTCTTCCCTGCCAATTGATCCTGTGATACCACTGTCCCGTGAGCCTTGATGAAGTTCTCCCTCTTCTACGACCCTCTAACCAGGAAGCTATTCTGACTTTGATTTATCTAAAGTGTGAACTCTCAGCAGAGCAATTAAGGCCTGTGCGGGCACCCCATCCCCTGAAGACCTCTGGTTAAGGACCAGGAAACAGGGAGCACAGAGTGTCGGTCAGAATATTGCAGGAACATAGAGGAAAGGCATCCAAGTCAGCTCAGGGAGTCAAAAGGAAGTCTCCTGGAGGAAGAGATACTTGAGCTGAGGCCTAATTACTAAGGAATCACCGCTGCAAACAGAGGGGAGAAGGATGCTCTAGGACAACGCAAGTTGTGTGTGTAGAGGCCTGGAGACAACACAAAGTTGGGGGAAAGGCCCAGATTTCAAAGCCTATCACACCCTAGCCCCATGAATCTCTGTCATTATTTGCCACCCTTCCCTGTCACCCACCTCCCCAGCAAGTGTGGTATGTGTGCCGGTGAGCCTGGGATTCATATTTGGGGAAGGCATATATGGGACTCCCTGTGCTTTGCTCACCCAGCATCATTCTAACGGCCCACTTGTAGCAGAGGCAACGGAGTCGTAGGAAAGTGAAGTCACGCAAGACACCCCAGGAGGCGAGCATTCAAAGGCAGGTCTGACTGCTGGCTGCTGACCTTCGCACTGCACAGGGCAACCAGGGCACACAGAGCCTTTCAGCCAGGTGTCTGTAAGGGCCACTCCTCACAGGTTCCGGGCATGCTGCAGCTTACACATACACACTGCGACAGCGGAGGTCAGTTCAGGGCCAGGGCATACAGTAAGTCTGGTCGCCTCAAGTGTCCCGTCCCAACTCCCTCCCCACCCTCTCCCCTGGCAGTCTCGTAAGTCTCCATGCCTGGGTTACAGCCTCGGCTCCACTACCTCCTAGCTGTGTGACATCGGACAAACAACTTCAGATCTCATTTGTAAAGTGAATCTTGCGGGACTGTTATGAGGATTAAACGAAAACAGCATCTGTGCAGGAAGCGGTCCGTACAATCCTGGGGAGGGGAGGGCTGACGACTCGTTTACACCCGCCAAACGCGGAGCGCTCCGCACAGAAAACCCTCCTTCCGGCTGTGCGCAGGCGCTTTCGGCAAAGACGCGGCGGGCGCTCCCGCGACTCTGCGGCTGCGCATTCGCCCGGTTTTGCGACCGTACTGCTTGACGGCGGCGGTGTCCGCCCTCCGGCTGGTGTTGCCGAGGTAACGAGGGGCGCGTGGGGCTCTGGAAGGTAAGGCTGCCGGGCACCAGCGATCTGCGACTCGTGACGCTGAGCATCGCGGCGGCCGCTCGCTGGGGGGAAGGCGGGGGGGGGGGTCTGCCGCGAGAGGAGAAGTCCGGCTTCTTCGAAAGCCCCCGGGAGCGGGAGCCGAGAGAGTTGTAGAGACTTTCCCAGGGTCGCACAGCCAGGCTCGAAGGGGCCGAAATGGGGAGCCAGGCTTCCCGGTTCCGCCGGAGTTAGCGCCTCTCCCCTTCTCCGAGCACCTGTGTCCCTTCCTACTTCTCTTCTTCGTTCTTTCCGAAGAACACGACCCCACGTTCAGTGCTGGGGGCTGGGGACGGTGAGGTGCTTCGGGCACCCTCTGTGCCGGAGGGGAGCCTCAGCAGCCAGTGCGGTTGTTGGGGCGTCAAGGAAATCCGCAAAGGGATAAGTAAGGACAGGGAGTTCTGAATTTGGTGGGCCCGGAACACTTTCTGGCTCGTGTGCAGTCCTGTACTGCGGTTGCAGCCGCCGTCTGACTCGCTTTCTGCCCAGTACGAGGCGCCTTGGCCTTTTTCACACAATTACCCACGGAATCCTCACAACGGCCTTCAAAGCGTTATCGCTTGTTTATGTGGCTTAGTCTCAGGTCCTAACCTGAAAGCCCCCCAGGGACTGGACTGTTTGCCTTTCGCTTTCATCCTTGCCTCCCTGAGCCCAGAGGTACCCCGTCGGGGCCTCAAACATTTTTTAATTGGGAGGTAGCTTTCCTGGGTGGGAGGTTTTCACCAGCCTTATTTGGCAAGGTGTTCCAAGTGGGTTGGAAAATTAAACGGGGCTACCTCCCCCATTTTTGTTTCTCTGTGTTTTATTTGGAATACACATTTACTGAACACCTAAACGGTGTTTGCTAAAGGGAAGAATCCGTGCTTTTGATAGTAAGTACGCTTAACGCTGCTTGTGTCTGGAGCCCAGTATGCCCAGGTTTGGGAAAGGAAAAGCAACAGCCCCTTACAGGTGCATAGCACTCAGCCCCTGAGCCCCTTCCTCTTCTGAACAACAGGAATAGTGATAGTACTTCTGTTGGGGACTGTTGGGATTAAGTGAGGTTGAATAAGCCATCCTATCACCAGTGATTGGCAACTTGGGCTGCATGTTGAACTCACCTGGGCCCCACCCCAGAATTTCTGATATAATTGCAGGTAAGTTCTGAGCATTAGGAGTTTTAAGATTTCCCTGGGTGATTCTAAGGGCAGCGAAGCTAGAGAGCTTTTAGATTAGTTAGTCTCTCTTCAGCCGGCGTTCCCTATTTAAGAGTGTGCATTGAGGAGAGCCTGGGTGGCTCAGTCGGGTGAACATCCGACTTTGGCTCAGGTCATGATCTCGCATTCGCTAGGTCCAAGCCCCGTATCGGGTTCCCTGCTGACAACTCAGAGCCTGGAGCCTGTTTCAGATTCTGTGTCTCCTTCTCTCTCTGCCCGTCTCCTGCTTACCCTTTGTCTCTCAAAAAATAAAAATGTTAAAAAAAAAAAAGTCTGCATTGACTCCCAAGGCTGAAGGAGGCTTCACATTCCACACCCCTTGACAACTGGCCCAGTCATCCCTCTGAGCCTGTGTGTGCTTCAGACATGGGTCCTCTTTTAGGCCAGTCTTCTTGCAATGCTATGTCCGTGCATCAAGGCTTGGGCAACTGACTGGTCCTCTTTAAGCCTCAGTTTCCTGGTCTGTGAAGTAAGAAAAGTAGCACCCATGCGTGTAGCATATGGCATAGTCTGCCTAGTGTGTTGCACCTACCGATGGTGATCTCACTGCCTCTAATTTTATTCACCTGCCACCTCTCACATTCTGCTGTGCGTCTGTAATAGCCCCAAAGAAACATTGCTTAAATGCCTGTTGCAGGTAGGAAGAATAGTGAATTCGGTCCTTTCTTCCCCTCTTTGCCTTTCAAGCTCAGCACAGGACAACTCTTTCACAAAACTATGAAATTAGAGATCATTTGGTTTGTCCTATTTAATTTTATTGAGAGCCCATTCACCTACCATAAAACTCACCCTTGTAAAATGTACAGTTCAGTGATGTTTAGTACATTCACAGCATTGGCCAGCCATCACTGTCCCTGCAATTTAGTTTTAAAACCTTTTCATCACCCTCAAAATAAACCTGTACCTATAACCCCATTTCTCCCTTCCCTCAGCACCAGGAAATTGCTAATCCACTTCGTGTCTCTGGATTTGCTATTAATGGATGTTTCATATGAGTGGCCTTATATAATATGTGGTCCTTTATGACTGCTTTCACTTAGCATAATGCTTTCAAGCTTCATACACTCTGTAGCATGTATTAGCACCTCATTCCGTTATTGCTGGTAATCCATTATATATGGATTTACTGTATTTCATTGATCCATTCATCTGTAGATGGACATTTGGGTTGTTTCCACTTTTTTGGCTGTTATGAATCACACTGCTGTAAACATTTGGGTACAGATTTTTGCATGAACATGTTTTAGGGTTTTTTGTATCTGTACAAAGTGGAATTGCTGGATCATATGGTTATTCTTTGTGAATTTTTTGTGTTTATTTTGAGAGAAAGAGTGTGTGTGTGTGTGCGCATGCACAAGCAGGGGATGGGCAGAGAGGAGACAGAGAATCCTAAAATAGGCTGCATGCTTTCAGTGCAGAGCCCAACTCGGGGCTTGACCTTACAAACTGTGAGATCATGACCTGAGCCAAAATCAAGAATCAAACCGACTAAGCCATCCAGGCACCCCGATCATATCACTCTGCGTTTAATGTTTAAATGACTTCCAGACTGTTTTCCAGTCCTGTTCAATTTAAAGATGAAGAAACAGGCCTCAGAAAGCTTAAGTGGGTTATGCGGGCTCACATGATAATAATGCAGGTTTGCATATCTAGGAGGCCTACTCTGAGCCAGGTTCTTGATGTGCATGTCTACATGGGCAGAAGTGAGCCCAGATCACAGACTGAAGTTTTGTGAAAAACGGCGTGTTTTGCGGCAGGAAACTTTCTGTTACACACACTTGGGTTGGAGTACAGGGTTTTTGCCACCAAGTATCCTAGCTTATTCTTGTTTTGTTTTTTTACGAGTAGGGGCGCCTGGGTGGCTCAGTTGGTTGAGCGTCCGACTTCGGCTCAGGTCATGATCTCACGGTTCGTGGGTTCGAGCCCTGTGTCGGGCTCTGTGCTGACAGCTTAGAGCCTGGAGCCTGTTTCAGATTCTGTGTCCCTCTCTCACCCTGCTCATTCTCTGTCTCTCTCACTCTCTCAAGGATAAATAAACATTAAAATTAAAAAAAAAGTATAGTAGCAATCTGAGGGAAGATTCCAACCCAGGCAAATTAAAATATAACTTCATTTTCACTTGTTCAAGAGAATTTAATTGGAAGTTCTTGCAGTTAGCCATTTAACATTTCCTCTTTTTCAAAAATTCCAAATGTAGCCTATACAAGTTAAATACTACCCAGAAGTTATAAAAGTGAAAAATCTCACAAAAGTCCAGATTGTTCGTGGGAATCTCTAGAAAGTTTCTCACTAGATTCCAACCTCCTGCCTCAAAAAAGCCGACACAGCATTGTTGTTTAAGTTTTAGAGTAAGTTGCTGCTGCTTCTGTTGAATACTCAATGCTATAGTTGGCTTGGATTGAGGGATAAGTCAGCAAGTAGAAATTTAGATAAAATGTTCTTGAAAGAAAGTCTCTTAATTGTCCATCAACATGCAATATACATGGGTTTATTATGAATGCTTTAAAATAATGTGTGTGTATATAAATAAAATGTATATGAGTTATGCTCAGTATGTAATTCCATTGAGAGATCTTACTTAAAAATTAAATTATTCTCACATTTTGCTGCTTAGCATATTCGGTCAATTCTATGAAGGTTCCAACTTGCTGATTCTTATTTTTCATATTTATCTTTGTAATTGATTTATCAATCTCTGTAACTCTTCCTTGGTCTGTGTTTGCCTTTGTCCCCATCTAATTCCTCAGTTTCTTTGAGAGGATGGATGGATGAAGGTATCACACATTGGACAAGCCATTCAATTTCTTGTTAATGGTCATAAACCCATACAACCGCTTACCTTCCTCAGATTTGGTGACCATCATTGGCTGTTTCAGGTTTGATCACATCCATTGCCCAAGGGGATGCTGGTGTTACGTGCGGGAGGCATGTTAATAAGCAGTTTTACTTTGTTCTTTGGATCCATGTAGATGAAACGTGTGATCTGCTCCACCGTATCTTCAAGCACTAGATATGCTCGCAGCCGAAATCGAGCCCAGGCCTGGGACGGAGGGAGCAGCCGATTCAAGTCTCCCTTCTTGTTCCAGCGGGTCTGTTGGGAGAGTGGAGTGTCCAAACTCTTGCACTGTTTACATTTTCCCTCCTTACATGCCGTTGAGTTTTCCTAAGTCAAATGTGTCTGCTTTGGCTCTGTGGCTTTATCACCCAGAGCACTCAACTCTGTTTCCTTCCTTTAGCCATGATTGAATTGCAGCTTGTTGTGTTACCTTCGATTTGCTTTTGTGTGTGTGTTTTGTCTCCTCAGATTGAGTATACGGCCTGGAAGGGAGAGGTACTCACTTTGGCTTCCTTTACTTCCTCAGAGTGTTCAGTGCACAGTAAGCAATTCCATCATTCTCCGGAACCCTTTAGCTCCTAACCTTGAGAAATAGTGAGTCTTGAGACAAAGGGAGACAGATGCAGCCTGTGCTCGCAGCAGAACCCAGAGAGAAGAGCGTAGGCTTTGGAATTCCATCGACCTGGGATCATCCGAAGGGGCCTTTTACAAAATTTCTCTGACCTGAACCTGTTTTCCTCCTCTGTAAACTGGAGCTGGTAGTACTCACCCCATAATAATAATTAAAGCACATACACCCATAGCGCTCGTTATGTACCAAGTACTCTTCTAGGCCCTTTATGGGTCTTAACTCTAAGATGGAGTCTGTTTTTATCCTTATCTTGCAAGCGAGGAAACCGAAGCGTGGAAAGATGAAGTAACCTTCGCCCCAAATCACACAGCTAGGACATAGTGATGCCAATTCCGATCCTGGCACTCTGGTTTTAGAGTTCTTGCTCTTAGCCACTCGCAATCTACCTTAAAAATTGGGAGACTGTTGACCTAATGTTTAGAATGGATTTTAAGGTCCTTTTTTGAAAAACAAAATACTGACTAGATTCAACCTTTGTGGACAGTGTCTCCTTTGATTTTATCCTTATACCCCCAGCACCTCTAGTTATTAGGAGCCACTGGTAGGTACTCAGTAAATGTCTGTTGCCTGAGTGAGAGAATGGAAGTAAGCCTAAAAGGCAGGAATCCCATTGTGCTTGCTATCAGGAGACTTTTGTGTGGCATTGTGACTTTGGGCATGTCACTAGGCCTCAGTCTTGTCCACTATAATTAGAAATCTTGCCACTGGCTTCTTGGGCATGGTTATGGGAATTGAGATATTCTACATGATTGGGATTTGCACTGCTTATACAAAATGTTCTCAGTACCCTTTCTTTTAGTTCTCCGCTTTATAAATATTTTATTCTTCCCACAGACTACAACATTTTCTGAGCCTAGAGATAAATGCACTCCCATTTTTCATCAATATAGTTATTGATTGGCTCTCTGTTTCTTTCTCCCTGTTATGCTCTTTAAAATACAGCTACGCTTGAGAAATGGCGGAAGCAGTTTTCCATGCCCCAAAACGGAAAAGAAGAGTGTATGAGAGTTATGAGTCTCCGTTGCCAATCCCTTTTGGTCAGGACGGTGGGCCTGAGAAAGACTTCAAAATATTCACTGCCGAAATGATAAACAACAATGTAATTGTGAGGAACCCAGAAGATATTGAACAGCTCTATGGGAAGGTAAGTGCCGGCTGCTTTTGGCATGGCTATTTCCTCACAGCCCTGGGCCAGCTGTCCTTTCTGCTTCTCCCATCCATTCCCAAAAGCAAGCTATAATTGAGCCACATTCTTTCCTTGCCGTTGGGTGCAGTGTAGGATGGGAACAGCACAATTTGAATCAGGTGCCCCGAAACCATATGTTAATTAGGATACACCCCCCTCAACGAACTCCTATTTCAACAATAAAGGAAGGTCAGTGCATTGACCTTTCCTGTCTCTCAGTTATAAAAGCCATGCGTGTTCATAAAAATGTCCAGAAATTTACAGAAATGTAATAAGGTAAAAGTAAAAATTCCCTGCTCGCTCCCATTCCATCCCCAGAGGTAAACCTAAGTGGTATATTGTTCTGTGTCACGGACAGATGAGGCTTCAGCACGTCCTTGGCTCCTTATCTGTTCTCTCTTCTGATTGAGGACCTCTTCTTAGATGAAGGCAAGTTCTAGTTTTTGCTGTTTTCCATCACTGATGGGTGTGGGTTGAGATTGGTGTAGCTTGCTTACTTTTTTTTTCCCTCCATAGCCAATTCATTAATGGGGGCATTTTTTAAAAAGTAATTAGAGGCAAGATGTAAAGCTATGAAAAGTAGAATGAATCTCTTGTTAACTCAAAGAGTTGTTTTCCCTCTGCTAAAAAATTAGTAATTAAACATGAACTAACTTTGTTTTCTCTTTTCCCGGTAGGGTTATTTTGGGAAAGGTATCCTGTCTAGAAGCCGTCCAAACTTCACAATTTCAGATCCTAAGCTCGTTGCTAAGTGGAAAGGTAAACTTACATCATTCAGTTCTTTTGGCAAGTTATTTTCTTTTGTCTTTGATCTCACGCTTCAGATTACGTAGGAAAACTCTTTAAAATTTTAGAGGAAGATTCTCTGAAGAAGAGTTAATGCGCACAGTGGCAATTTTACTGCTAAAACTAGCAATTAGAATAATTCTAATCGAGGCGGAAGGGTTCTTATGGTTCGTGAAAATGTGTTTTATCTAATTTCTGGAATTATCAGAAATGTTACTTAGGCTTTTCTGTTGTTAAACATTGACTAGGAGGGTACTGTGCACGCAGAAGGTACTGGTAATTAAGTGCCTCCTCACCTGTATGCAAAATGAGTTTTCTACTTTTTATTTTTAGAATTAGAATTTACAACAATAACATTAATGAATTGGTTAAAACATTAACCAGTGTGCGTGGTTCTTACTTGCTTAACTTGACTTCTGTAACTTACCCTAGTATATTTGTTTAAGGAAGTCTCATGGTGATTACATAACCAATGCCAGCAGATTAAAACATAATTAGGGTTTTTAAAAACATTTTACTGTAAGAAAAAATACAACTTAAAACTGCGCTAAGGTACCATTTCAGCAATAAGATTGGAAAAATCCAAAAGTTCGGCAACATTCTCCTTGGTGAGGCCCTGAGAAGTACTGTCAGGCATTGCTGATGGGAATACAGGTGGCCCAGCTCTTACAGAGGGGAATTTGACAATGCCTAGCAAAATTATAGATACATTTGCTTTTTTTTTTTTTTTTAAGTCTATTTATTCTGAGAGAGAAAGAGAAAACGAGTGGTGGAGGGGCAAGAGAGAGAAGGAGAGAGAATTCCAAGCAGATGCTGCACTGTCGGTGCAAAGCCTGACGCAGGTCTCGAACTCACAAACTATGAGATCATGACCTGAGCCAAGATCAAGAGTTGGACGCTCAACCGACTCAGCCACCCAGGTGCCCCTGTATACATTAGCTTTCTCCCCCAGTCCTCCTGTCCCCCTAACCACTGGTAACCTTAATATGTTTTCTGTCTGTGAGGCTGCCCATTCTAGATATTTCATATAAGTGGAATCATATTTTGAAGCCATTTGTGCCTTTCACTTAGGATGTTTTCAAAGATTCATCCATGTTGTAGCATGCATCAGAACTTCATCCTGAGTAATTCTCCATTTGATTGATGGATATACCATGTTTTGTTTATCCGTTCATCCAAATATAGACATTTGGGTTGTTCCCACTTCAGAGCTGTTATGAGTAGTGCTGCTGTGAACATTCATATACAAGTGTTTGTGTGGAGATGTGTTTTCATTTCTCCGAGGCACCTACCTAGGAGTGGACTTGCTGGATCATATGATAATTATAGTTTCATTTTTTTAGGAAATGCCAAACTGTTTTCCAAAACACCTGCCCCATGTAACATTCCCACCAGCAATGCACAACGTTTCCAATTTTCTGGCTTTTGGTTTTTTGGTGTTTTATTTTGTTTATGATAGCCATCTCCACGTAAAGTGGTAAAAGTTTTCCATATTCATGAAGTCAGTTTGTCTGGGTTTTTTTTTCTTTCATTGCCTCTGCTTTTGGTATCATATTTAGGAAACCATTGCCAAATCCAAGCTTATGCAGACTTTCCCCTGTGTTGTCTTCTAAGAGTTTTACAGTTTCAACTCTTAAATTCAGATCCATTTTGAGTAACTTTTGTGTATGATGTAAGGTAGGCATCCAGCTTCGATGGTGTTTTGCCCGTGCATATCCAGTTGTCCCAGTATATGCATTTACTTTTAACCCAGCAATTCCATTTCTAGGAGTTTATCTGAAAGATACACTGGCAAAAATATGAAAAAAAACAGCACAAGGCTATTCATTTCAACACCGTTTCTTGTATTAAAAGATTGAAAATGATCCAAATGAGCATGAGAAGGGGACCAGTCATTAAACTGCACTGCAGTCATATAATGAAGCGCTGTGGAGCTGAGCTAGGAGTGAGGGATACAGGGGTGTGTTCCTAAGAGTGGGGGGGGTCTGCAGAGTACGCTGTGGTTTACCTGAAGGTGGAGGTTATAAATATATTTTTAAATTTTAAGGAAGGATAAACCATAGATTCTTTTTAATGTCTATGGCAAAGGGCCAGAACAGGATGGAGCAAGAAGTGAGACTTCATACATTTGACTTTGGAACCTTGTAAAGATACTACATGATAACAAAACACAGTTAAATTTTAAAAAGTGGTTTCCAAAAATGGTACCTTTACATATCAAGCTGGTGTTCTAGGCACAGAGGAAAAGTATTTTGAGTGACTGTAAAACATGGTGACTTGATGTTTAGTCCTAATGGGACAGACTTTTTTTTTTTTTTAATTTTTTTTTTTAATGTTTTATTTATTTCTAGGAGAGAGAAAGAGACAGCGTGAACAGGGGAGGGTCAGAGAGAGAGGGAGTCACAGACTGAAACAGGCTCCAGGCTCTGAGCTGGCAGTCAGCACAGAGCCCGACGCGGGGCTCGAACCCACGAACCGCGAGATCATGACCTAAGCGAAAGTCGGACGCTTAACCAAATAAGCCACCCAGGCGCCCCTAATAGGACAGACTTTTTGTCAGTTATCTTTGGCACGGTGTTGTTGAACAAGCCAGGGGTTTTCAGCAGCAACCGCACTGCTCACAAGTCTGCAGGTTTGCTGGGTAGCTGATCTTGACTGGATGTGCTGGTCCATCTGGTTAGTTATGGAGATCAGCTGGCTATTCTAATGGATCTGGTCCAGGAATGGATGTAGCCAGACTCACTAATGTCTGGTTGTCTGTCAGTTGGCTGTCAGCTGGTCTAGGATATTCTCAGCTGGGACGAGGGGCAGGGGGCGCCATGTGTGTCATCCTCCGGCTGGCTAGCCCCAGGCTCGTGCTCGTGGTCACGGTGGAGGGTCCTGGCCCCAGTGTGCCAGTGCTTTTCAGGCCCTTCCTGCTCACAGCATGTTTGCTGTGATTCCAGCTGGCCCAGAGTCCAGGGGTTTGGCAGATGGAAGAGCTCAAGAATTGGGGCCATCAGTGCAATCAACCTGCCCTCTACTCTAAAGAAAGAAAGTGTGGCAAAATCATCTTCACATTGCTTTCAGCACTGATTTTTTTTAAATTTTTTAAATGTTTATTTATTTTTGAGAGAGAGACAGAGACAGAGTGAGCAGTGGCATGGCAGGGACAGAGAGAGGGAGACACGGAATCTGAAGCAGGCTCCAGGCTCCATGCTGTCAGCACAGAGCCTAACATGGGGCTCAAACTAACAACCTGAGCTGAAGTCAGATGCTTAACCGACTGAGCCACCCAGGAGCCCCTCAAAGGTTACTTTGTAGCATTGGTACTGTTATTCTGAGACTGTTATGTGTATATTGTGTAAAAAAAAGTAAATGATTAATTTGTTGGTATGATTGAGAGCCAGGAGTTTTTACATGAAACATCTTATACCAGGAAGCAAGGAAGCTTATCAAAAACTGCTAGGCTTGTTTCAAGAGACTCTGCAGGCTAAACATGGAAACTTTCGAGCATCAATAAGAATAATACTACAATTTGTTTTAAAATCCAGTCATTGGTAATACTACCCCCCCCCCAAATGGTTACATCTTTTAATTTATACTGGTACATACTGATACGGGCCAGAAGAAATTCACTGTTCACCTATGGAGGATTCATCATTTTGGGAATTGGTTAACATGATCTGGTTCTCAGGGTAAGCAAGTAGTGAGGCGTTTCTCTCTATAGAGGATTCCCACCAATAAACAAAGAAGGAATAATAGGATTCGAATATCACTGTTTTACATCCTCTACTGATCACGAGCAGTGCTGCTGACATACTAAGAGACAAGGAGACATTTTTTGTCTTGTGCGGAGACACACAGCGCCACCCCTGGTAGGTAGGCTGCCCCAGAACTTGAGCCTGAATCCGATCAAGTCTCTAACTCCACCAATTCACAGGAAACCCTTTCAAAGAACATATTTATTAAGCCAGTGCTACTCAGAGTACTGAAGTGTCACAAGGTAAGTCCTTTGCACCAGAATGGAAATAGATCCCATGCTGTTTAGTTATTTACTTACAGCTTCCTGCTCTGAAAATCTGGCTGTGAAAACAAGATGAGCTGAACTAAGCAGTGTGCTGAGTGAGTCGGTTGCTTCAAAGCTGGTGGAAGGCCTTCTTGGACCGTCCACGAGCAGTGGGCCTGTGACCTCCTTTGTTGAGCACCGTGTTAACAGCACAGTAGGGATGTAATCATCTGTTATCAGACCAGGGAGGACAGAAGACTCATTGCTTCAACAAATGAACTACAGGGGAAAAAAATCATCGCAGGAAAACATGTGTTAAAGCCAACTTCAGGTGTCTCCATCAGTTGCAGTGTATGGGCCTTACATGGATTTTGAATCAGACTCTCCAAAAAAAAAAAAAAAAAAAATTGAGACGATGCATAGATTTTGGATGAGGATAAGGAATTAATATTAAATTTTACAAGTAATGGCACTGCAATTATGTTTCTTTTTTTTTCTTTTTTAATTTTTAAGTAAGCTCTATACCCGACATGGGATTTGAACTCATGACCCCAAGATCAAGAGTTGCATGCTCTACCTACTGAGCCAGCCAGGCGCCCCTTTTTCTTAAAATACTTTTTTCTAAGCAATTAGGTTTTTTAAACAGAATCTTTATAGAAATACATAATGAGCCACTTAGAGAGGCTGTGATGGGATGTGAGGGGTCTTTTTCAAAATAATCTGGGGGCCGGGGAAGCGTGCAGGACAGATGAAGCAAGATTGGCCATGAGTTAATTATGAAAGCTGAGGGATGAGAACGTGGGAATTTATTTTACTGTTCTCTTTACTTTTGTATGTCTGAGAATTTTTCATAGTGAGTGTTTCGAAAAGAGAGGGGGAAAAAAACACATTACGGCCATTCAGCTTCAGCAGTTAGTCATATTTGGCCAGAACCCTGGAAAGTTTTCAAATAGTGTAATAATCTTAATAATGGAGAACCTTTTCCTGATCAGTGTAGGAACTGAGTTTTAGACAGTAATAGAAATTTGAAGGAAATGAGTTTATGCCAAGGAAGCAGGAATTAAGCTTGTGGGCTGCCCTGAAGGAGTAAATCTCAAATGTTCGTTTTAGGAGGTTGTTCAGATTCTGGCTTCAGCCCCATCTTGCACCCCCTCTGTCCAGTCTCTTCTGCTCGCTGGCCCTGAGGCCACCTCGGGCTGCTGGCCATTCCGTGGACCTGCCGCACATTCGCTCCTGCAGCCTCTGTACGGCTTCCCCTGCCTGTTTCCCCCAGTCTGTCTGGTGAACTCTTACTCCGTCTGCAGAGCCCCGCTCCATCACTCCTCCTCCTCCTCAGTGTTTTCCCCTGATCCTTTCAGGCAAAGGTAACCAGTCCTTTTCTAATCCTTCACTCGGTCCTATGTCAGCTTGGGTGAGAATCCATCGTTTCTGGTCTGTCTCCTCAATTAGACTGTACCTCAAGGAGAGGGGATTTGCTTTTTTACTTCTTTATCTCTTTGCTTGGCACGTGGAAGGCTGTCGGTAAAACTCGCTAAATTGTCACTTGTTAAATTACCAGAGGAGGGAGGTCATCACACAAAGAAAACTGACAAATTCCTAAGGAGGTAGGAATCTGTGAACTCACTTTCCTGGCCTTTTAACAGCTGATTATCATCTGTTCCAACCCTCTAATGCGCTGGGGGGAAGGCTGAGTTTGGGTAAGGAGAAACGTGCCCAAAGGCAGAGTGAAGGAAGACGAAGACTAAAACCCACACCATCAGGTGACCAGTAAACAACATTGTAGGTTGAAAGGCTCAACCAGCCAGATTCCCAGAGCTAGAACTAGAGCCCAGAAGTCACCGGTCCATACCCAGAACCAACACTGCCGTGAATCTTACCTCAACAACCCTTTCTGGAGGTACGCGGGGGCACTTGCAGCGAAGATGCACCCGGGCATCTTCGGGTGCTCTTGTGGAGCACTGGACAGTGGTGATAAAGTGCGCAACCTTAGGGCCCCGATGTTCTCATCCAAAAGTAGAGGCATGTACATTCAGAGGCGGCAAGGGGCTTTCCTCTGGCGTGCCACTGCTGCTGAGCTGCAGGGCTGGGTAGAGCCGGATTTGAGGGCCACATCTGAGCACAGCAAGACACCAGGATCGGTCAGATCGCCTTCCAGGGGATGGGTTCAGGGCGTGATGGCTAATGAAGCACGTGTTTGCCATAGTGGCTGCACAGGATTAGTCAGCCTTCTAGATATGTGATTTGGGGATTCTTAAAATTGCCTTTGTCTCTTCTGGATTTTCAGTGGTGTTTTTGCTTAAGGAAAATTTGTCTGAACTAACAGAACATCTTTGTTGTTACAGATATGAAGACAGACATGCCTATAATCACGTCACAGAAGTAAGTCATGATGGCCTGGGCCAGAATTACAGCTTAAATCTGATCTGTATATAGGTAACCTTTCCACTGTGGTAGTCCATGCCTTTTTTTTTTTTTTTTTTTTTTTTTGGTAGCGTATGTCCTTGAAAATTATGTCTGAATTTATCACTTGTAGATCTTGCAATATTGTGGATCATATGTATTTGAATGTACTGTTTACTTTTTTAAATAATCCTAATCTTTTGTCACTTGAATTCCATTCAAAATATGAATAATTACCCTGTAATGTATATATCTTTAAGTGCTAAGATGCATACACTTAGATCTAAAACTGGCCTCCTGCCCTGTCCTCCTTCCTTGCTTGATACTTGCAGGGTGACAGAAAGGCTTTCACTGAGACTCTTCCTCATCCACTCATATGGCCACGGTTCCTTCCTCTGGCTTTTCTTTACAGTCTTCCCATTTCCACCAAACTTTTCTCGCCGACCCCCCGAATACATGCATGCCTAGCTATCCCTGTGCATCCCACGATCCAGCTTTCATACCCCTCCCTCGAGGCACCACCAGCACCCCCTCGCTTGGGGTCGTTCCTCCAGCTCCCACGCAGTCTGCCTTGGCGCCCCTCCCTGGGCCATCCACCACGTACCCAGAGTTACACTATCGGTTCCTGGAGAGCAGAGACCATGCCTGGTTCCTGCCTTCAGCCCCAACACTTAGTGGTCCCTTGGTAAGATTTTGTTGACTAAATGTTCATGCATTTAAATCCTCATTGAGGGGTGTCTGGGTAGCTCAGTCACTTAAGCATCCAACTCTTGGTTTCAGCTCAGGTCATGATCTCATGATTCATGAGTTTGAGCCCTGCATGGAGCTCTGTGCCGACAGCGTGGAGCCTGCTTAGGGTCCTTTCTCTCCCCCTCTCTCTGCCCAGCCCCACTCACTCAGATGCATGCTCTCTCACACTCTATCTCTCTCAAAAATAAACACACTTGATAGATAGATAGATGATAGATAGATAGATAGATAGATAGATAGATAGATAGATAGATAAGGGCACCTGGGTGGCTCAGTCTGTTGAGCATCCGACTTCAGCTCAGGTAGTGATCTCACGGTTCATGAGTTCGAGCTCCGCCTCAGGCTGTCTGCTATTAGCACAGAGCCCACTTCAGATCCTCTGTCCTCCTTTCCCTCTCTGCCCCTCCCCCGCTCACACTGTCTCTCAAAAATAAACATTAAAAAAAATTTAGGGGTGCCTGGGTGGCTCAGTCAGTTAAGCATCCAACTTCAGCTCAGATCATGATCTTGTGGTCCGTGGGTTTGAGCCCTGCATCGGGCTCTGTCCTGACAGCTCAGAACCTGGAGCCCACTTTGGATTCTGTATTTCCCTCTCTCTGCCCTTCCCCTGCTTGCGCTTTCTCAAAAATAAATAAAACATTAAAAAAATTTTTTTTAAATTTAGGGGTGCTTGTGTGGCTCAGTTGTTTAAGCACCTGACTCTTGATTTCAGCTTGAGTCACAGTTAACTCACAGTTCGTGAGTTTGAGCCTCATGTCAGACTTCACGCTGACTCTGGCTCAAGCTTGCACTGTCTCAGGGTAAATAAACTTAAAAAAAAAAATCTTAAGAAGTGTGTTAAATAAATAAATAATTAAACACATATAAATAAATAAATAAGTAAATTCTCAGCAGCCTTGAGGGGCAGCTCAAAGTGCAACTCATCAATACTTGATTCATGATTTGGCCAAAATAATTACAGTCACAATCTAAATAATAAAAAATATTAAACATTATGAGAAATGGGCCCATTTTTATATTTTAGGTTAATTTTCCAGCTTAAATTCTTGTTATAATTGTTTCTTTACTTTTCCATCTGAAACTCTGATCCATTTCTCAAGTGGATTCACTCTGATTGGCCTTTTCCAACATTGTGATGAGAACCTTCCGTGTAATCCTTCCTGGAGGCGGGGATCAGGACCCTCAGATAATGCCCGAAGGGACTGAAGTCCGTAGGTTGTGTCCTTGAAGAAGCAGCCCTGAGGAGGTTGCTGGTCTCCCCTCCTCGTTTGTGGTCCTTTATCAGCAGGTGCCTGTGTGTCAGGCATTGGTAGGGGCTGCAGATAGAAGAGGAGGAAAAGAATGCATCCCTGTTCTCGAGGGACTTACATTCCAGTGGGAGAGGAAGAGAGGTAAGCAGTCGCGCTCTTCTGCAGTCGGTGTCATGGTGAGATATTACCATCACTGTAGTCATAGGAAGTACCAGCTGCTCCAGGAGCGCTGGTCCCCAGTCCCTGTGCTTTACCTGACATCCCAGTTCATCTTCTCAAGAAGCCTTTGAGGTGGATGTAGTCATTTCCATCTCATACATGGGGAACCTAGAAATAGCTTGTCCAAGACTGTATGAGCTCAAACCAGGCAGGTCAGTTCCAGAGCCTCTGAGGAGTTGCCACTCAGTGAGAAGAGTAATGCAGTTGTACATGCTGGTGTTTCCTGGGTGTACTCCATGTACGAGGTACTCTGCTGAGAACACACTTGGACTATCTCTGAAGTCCTCACATCACCCCTGGAGGGAGGTGAGGAAGCGGAACCAGAGGAGGTTATGTAACTTGCTCAAGGCCAGTACTTAGACCTTACACATAAACTCAGAACCATTTTGCTATGATCTTCCAGTGATAAATAGGCATTAATCAATAGGCAGTGGGGAAGGGTGTTCCATGCTAAAGAAAGAGGTGTGTTCAAGGAAACAGAAGAAGCAGGGTGTTTTCATCTGGTACACCATTTTCTGTAGTTGGTGGCCCTAAAATGAGTCTGCTTTTCCCTAGCCTCATTGTTGCTTCTACCATAGCTAACTCCATTTCCTCCTGCCACTCTGCCCCTTATGTTTCCTGACTTTTACTTTTCACTTTTTTCTTCCTGCTGCTTCTCCAGCAGCGTTTGGGGGTGATCGTAGCAGGATTTGGCTTTTTAAGGCATTGCCAGCCAATGAGCGGACACCTGGTCTGTGACTCACAGGCCATATGTCTTACTTAGTCACTTGTGTATCTGGCTGTTTGCATCACCAGTCTTACTCAGAGGCTTTCTTCCACATGCTTCTGCAGCCACTGTCTCATCTGAGCTTTCATAAATGAGCATCTGAGGGCATTATGAGGCAGGAATGCACATGTGATTCTGGCCTTTTGCAGAAGAGCAAAAAGTGACATAGAGTGTTGGGGCACCTGGGAGGCTCAGTCGGTTAAGCATCCAACCGGCTCAGGTCATGATCTCACGGTTCGTGGGTTCGAGCCCCACATCGGGCTCTGTGCTGACAGCTAGCTCAGAGCCTGGAGGCTGTTTCGGATTCTGTGTCTCCCTCTCTCTCTGACCCTCCCCTGCTCATGCTGTCTCTCTCTCTCAGAAATAAATAAAAAACATTAAAAAAAAAAAAAAAGTGACATAGGCTAAGCAGTTTAGCCCGGAATCACACAGAGGAGCCATCGGCAGGACCCAGATCTGGCACAGTGCTTGTCCCCACATGGCTGTCCCTGCTCTCCAAGAGTGGTTAATTAAGGTGTACATTTCCATTCATTAAAAATGTCATTTGTGGGGCGCTTTGGGGGCTTAGTTGGTTAAACTTTCGACTTCACCTCAGGTCATGATCTTGAGGTTTGTGGGTTCCATCCCTGAGTTGGGCTCTGTGCTGACAGCTTGGAACCTGGAGCCTGCTTTGGATTCTGTGTCTCCCTCTTTCTCGGTCCCTCCCCCACTCATGCTCTGTCTCTCTCTCACTCAAAAAATCAATAAACCTTAAATTTTTTTTTAAAAAAGTTAATGTTATTTGTATTTCTTAGTGTAATATGTGTGAGGCAAAATTATTTTTTTCATATTTCTTTATTTTTGAGAGACAGAGCATGAGTGGGGGAGGGGCAGACAGAGAGGGAGACACAGAATCAGGAGCAGCTCCAGGCTCTGAGCTGTCAGCACAGAGCCCGACGCAGAGCTTGAACTCTGAACTACGAGATCATGACCTGAGCGGAAGTCAGACATTTAACCGACTGAGCCACCCAGGTGCCCCAAAATGATTTTATTTTTTAAAGTCTCCCCTAAAAAACCCACAGTGGTTTACAGAGGAGGAATTGAGTCTTACCAGGGTTATGCAGCTAGTACGAGAACGTAATGGAACAAGAGTTTGAACCCGTATTTGCCTTGACCGCCCTATTGCAAAGAGCAGAGCAGAGGCCTGTGTGTGCTCTGTCAGTTCCAGCTCTTTTATTCAAAGGGGCAGTTTTTGAACCTTTCAATCAGTGGTTCTTTCACATATTTTGAGTCAAGGAATTTGATGAAAGTTGTGGATCCCTTTCCCAGAAAAGTACACATTGACACACAAATTTGTGTTCAGATAAAGGAGATTCATAGATCCATGAAACCGATAAAGCCAGTGCTGTAGGTGGTATGAAAAGCAAAGATTCTTTTTACGTCTCTCAAATGAAAGTTCTTTGAACTGTACGCAGCAGTGGCCATGCTTTCCGTGCAGGTGAGGAGTCACCCTGCTGTTCTATGAGCAGCTACATTTTTTATTCTGACATGAAAAGTAATACCTTATACCCTTATGAGGTAGTAGTACTGTTACCCCATCTTCTGGGTGGGAGAACAAACATAGAGAAGTTAAGTAACTGGCTCTGTCAAACAGTTACAAGCGACAGTAAGGCTGAACGTGAATTGTGCAATAGCTCATGCGCGTAATCACTGTGTCACCTTGCCTCTCAGGTGTGAGAAGAGCTCTGCTAGGTTTTAACCTTTAAATCTAAAATACAATTCCCATAGATAGGAAGGCGTGCTCACCCCTATGTAGGATAAACAGGGTGTGGACAGTTTGGAAATCCTTCTGTTGAGTCAGGATTAAGCAGCCACAAATCTCTTAAATAGAGCCAGTGTCCTTGTTCAGTTAGTTGTGTGTGAGACGTAGCAGTTTATGACATACTCATTTATCTGTACACAAAGCAAAATACTCAAGGTGAGTATTTGTCTTCCAGCAAACTGTGCCTTCTTAAGTGCTGTCAGGCTAATGCCGTAGGTAAAGGCAAAAAGTTGCCTTTAGCCCTTCCACGGATGAGAATGTATCTTGGGGCATGTTGGGGGGTTGCCTTTACATTTAAGGAACTAAGCAGGTATTTCCTCACCAAACTATACTTCAGAAATCATTGTGAGAACAAGGGCCCTTTCTGCTAGGATGCTTGGTTGTATGTGTAGCACTAGAATCATTTCTTTTCCTAGGTAGTGGAGACCTTAGTAGGTACTATGAAAAATATTTATTAAACTCTCAGTTTGGGGCTTCCAGGTGGCTCATTCAGTTAAGCATCTGACTCTTGATTTGGCTCAGGTTGTGATCTCATAGTTGGTGAGTTTGACCCTGGACTGACAGTGCAAAGCCTGCTTGGGATTCTTTCTCTACTTCTCTCTCTATGTACTCTTTCTCTCTCTCAAAATAAATAAAGAAACTTGAAATTCTCATTTTGCAATACTGAACAAAGGCTCTTTACATTATGAGTGGAATATTTTTTGGAAAATATTATGATATCCACAATTGAGACTAATGTAAAAGAAATCCTGACAAATGGTCATAGTCTCTTTATATTTACCTAAATCATGTGGCCCACCAGTTTTAAATTACATAAATTTTCATATTTCATTAAACTGGGGTCATTTTTTTTTCAAGTTAAGAAAATTAGGGGTGCCTGGGTGGTTCAGTATGTTGAGCATCCAACTCTTGATTTTGGCTCACATCATGATCCAGGAGTCATGGGATCGAGCCCCGTGCTGGGCTCCATGGAGCCTGCTTGAGATCTCTCTCTCTCTATCTCCCCTCCCCCTTTTCTCCCCCACTCACACACTTGCTCACCTTCTCTTTCTCATATAAAATATTCAAAAGCCAAAAAAATCAAATGAAGCACTAATAATAAAAACAAAAATAACACATGCTTATTACGGAATAGTTAGAAAACACAAAAGAATGTAGTAAGAAAGCATTTACCTATAGCCTGCCACCGAGAAAAACTGCTATAAACATTTCAGCATCCTGCCTACCCATCTCTTTTGCATGCTGTGTTGTCTTTTGAATATTGAAATTCAAGTGTTAACTTCATATGTGGAACTTGAGAGACTTAAGAGAGGACCTGGGGGAAGGGAAGGGGAAAAAATATTACAAACAAGGAGGGAGGCAAACCATGGAAGACTCTTAAATGCAGAGAACAAACTGAGGGTTGATGAGAGGGGCCGTAGGGGAGAAGGGAAGGTGGGAGATGAGCATCGAGGAGGGCACTTGTTGGGATGAGCACTGGCTGTTGTATTTAAGCAATGAATCATGGGAATCTACCCCCAAAACCAAGTGCACATTGTATATACACTGTATGTTGGCCAATTTGACAACAAATGATATTTAAAAAAAAAAAGAAATTCAAGTGTTACTGACAGTTTTTCCATTTTGCAGGTATCAGCTTAGTATAGAATGGGCCACAAAGCTCATGCAAAGACAGGGGCAGGATGAGAGGACAGTGCATCGAATCCTCGAGGATTACACAAAACCACTTGAGCATCCTGGTATAAAAAGGAATGAAGGATTCCAGTGGCGTGATGAGCTGAACTCTGAAACCATTCCCAAAATCGAAGGTACTGCAGATAGAGAGGAACCTTCTGTGATGAATGGGGACTCAGAAAAGTCACTAGACCTGGAGGGTCCCAGCAAGCAATCAGACCACCTACAAGAGAGCTCGGGGCCTGGCCCACTGACTCCAGATGGGCTGGATGGACACCTGGGAGGGGTTGCCACGCTCCAGCACTGCCCCCTGCCCCAAGTTCACTGCAGCAGAGATGTTCTCCCCCAGCATGACACTCAGCCGGGGGACAGGAGCCAGCAAGTGGATCTCATCTGTGCCAGAGAGAGAGGGCCCAGTGATGAGTACGTGCTGGTGGAGGAAGATGTGATTGATGTGAGTGAGGAGGAATGTGCCCCACGTGAGGAAGTGAGTATAACTGGCCTTTAACAACATGGGTTCAAACTGCATGGATCCACTATACACGGATTTTTTTGGATACAGTACAATATTGTAAATGTCTTTTCTATATGATTTTCTTAATATATTCTTTTCTCTAGCTTACTTTATCGCAAGAATACAGCATATGATACTTACATGTCTTAATGAGCTGTTTGTGTTCTCGGTAAGGCTTCCAGTCAACAGTAGGTTATGAGTAGTTAAGTTTTGGGGGAGTCAAAAGTGATACACAGATTTTCTGTTGCAGGAGGTCAGCACCCTTAAACCCTGCATTGTTCCAGGATTGACTGAAGAAGAAAATCAGTCACTTCCTCCAGAACCATCTATTTCTGGCCCACAGCAGATGTGGGCTAACAGGGTGTCCCTCACTGAGAACGGGCAGCAAGCCCATATTAAGTGCCCAGGGTATGTGAGAGGTGGTGAGACACTCTGAGGGAAACCGTGGGCACTGGGTCCCAGCCCTGGTGGCTCAGTAGCTGTGGGGGCCGTTTCTACTAAAACCTCAAGTCTGTGAATAACTTAATTTTTTTTTTAAGTATAAATTAAAGCAGGTGCAATAGTATTCTTTCCCTTGGGTGGGAGAGAAAGAAGTGCTGTGGTAAGTACACATGGCTTGAGCCTGGCTGTAGCAGAGGGTGTCAGGCATGGAAGCCATCCAGCCCAGGAGAAGCACTGGGAAGCAGACCCAGAGCCCCCTCAGTGTGGGATCCACAGTCAGACAGTGGCTCTGGAATTATCCATAATAGCTAAAAATGAGTACCTCTAATGGCTAAGTAGTACGTGAAACACCATTTGAAGAAATACCACGTAGCCTTCAGAATGAGGTTTGTGAAGCCTGGCTAAGAACCTAGGCGCACAACTTGTAAGGTACAGGTTGGTGAAAAGAAGGACATAAAATCGACCAGCAAAAGGATCACAATTGTGGGAAAAAATTCACAGGGAAAAAAGAAAGGACATAAATCAAAATGTTCATAGTAGAAAACCTAAAACTCATTTTTTCACATAATAATAAAAAATCTGTATTTTTTAACAGTATTAAGCCAATAAATGTGAATCTGGGAAGTTTATAAGAAGAATGTTCATTTTAAAATGCAGTCTTCCCTGTGGAACATGTAATCCTTCCATTTGTTCTCTGTGTATTTTCTTTCTTTCTCTTCAGTTGGCACCAAAAAAGAGATTGATATGCAGAAGAAATCCGTATCGGATCTTGGAGTATTTGCAACTTAGCCTGGAAGAGGTACGTTTCCTGCATGTTAAGTTTTCAGCTCTTGGTCTCAGGGCCTGGGCAACCTATAATGCAGTCCACCTGTAACTGCAATTCTGTTTGTAATTCAGTTAGTGAGTATTCAGTAACTGAATGTTATAAATCAGTATTGAAATGACCATAGGCAGCTTCCAAAGTAGGCCTGCCTAACTTTCACTCCTTAGCCTTCATTTCATCAAGTCTAAGATTTGGGGGACTCCCCTATATCATGAGATATTGCTTACATACCATACCTTTCACCCGTTTAAAGTGGACAGTTCAGGGGCGCCTGGGTGGCTTAGTTGGTTAAGCGTCCGACTTTTGCTTAGGTCATGATCTCGCGGTTCATGGGTTCGAGCCCCACGTTGGGCTCTGTGCTGACTGCCAGCTCAGAGCCTGGAGCCTGTTTCAGTCTGTGACTCCCTCTCTCTCTGACCCTCCCCTGCTCAAGCTGTCTCTCTCTCTCTCTCTCTCTCTCTCCTAGAAATAAATAAAACATTTAAAAAATATATTTAAAATAAATAAATAAATAAAGTGGACAGTTCAGGGGCACCTGGGTTGCTCAGTTGGTTGAGCGCCTGACTTTGGCTCAGGTCATGATCACGCGGTCCCTGGGTTTGAGCCCCGCATCGGGCTCTGTGCTGACAGCTCAGAGCCTGGAGCTGCTTCAGATTCCATATTCCCTCTCTCTGCTTCTCCCTCACTCGGTCACTGTCTCACAAATAAACATTAAAAAAATTTTTTTAATTGCATCATACGTTTCCCCTCTGATTTAAAGTTCCTCTATGCTGTGTTCATGTGTCGTTCAGTCCCTCCTTGTTTGCTTATGTTTATACTGTCCACAGAAGTGTCCCCTCTGCCCCAGCAGATAGCACCCCTTCCTCGCACTCATGTGCCTCTTCCCCAGGAGCGTGCTTGCCTGTCTCGGGCAGCCGCAGCAGCGTCTAGCACCATTCTCAGGAAATGTGTGTTGAATGCATCCACGTTGGTAACTTCATGGACGTGTCCACAGAGAAGTGATTGTGTCTCCATATTCTCTTGATTTCCTTATCTGTGCTTCCTTCCTCACAGTGAGGCCAAAGGTATAGCCTCACAAACCAGGAAAGGATGTTTGGAATTATTTACTTCATCTCCTCATTTTATATGAGACAGCTTAGTCTGTTGTCAGAGACAGTAGCTAGCCTCTAGGCACGCATGGCTGTTCTATCAAACTAATTAAAATTGAGCAAAATGCAGAATTCTGTTTCTCAGTTGTGCCTGCTACATTTCAGACACTCAGCAGCTGCGTGTGGATAGTGGCAACCATATTGGACAGCACAGGTGTAGAACATCGTCATCACAGAAAGTTCTGCTGGGCAGCACTGGGGATGCCCATTCTCTAAGGGCTTGAGCTCTCTGGTCCTTGGTTTCTTCTCTGTAAAACGAGGGTTATATAGTACCTTGTTCGTAAGATGTTCTGGGAATTAACTACTGCATGTAATGGGTTTGGCACATGCCTGATATATAGTAAAATGCTCAGCAAGTGTTAGTGCATGCTATTCTTGTCATTATCATCATTATGAAGTTATTAAATTACTTACAAATTACACATAAATCACTTGCAAAAGCTAGTTGGAACCTTTAATTTTGCCATCAATATTTTGCAAAACTTTTCACTGGGTACTTCCTGTGTGCCGGGCACTGAGCTTAGTAGTAACGATGCAGAAGTAAACGCACTGTGGCTGGGTCCTTTAGGTAGCCCAGAAATAACTGCATTCAGTGCGGTCTGTGGATTGTGCCAGAATTGCTCCTCTAGCATCCTTGTACCCAGGATGCTTAATAATTATGATTACTCATTATAGCTGGGAAGACTTCACAAGGTCAGTGGCATCCGTGGAGGTTAAAGGATAAGTGGGGGATGGCCATGGGGACACTGGACAGCACGGGCTTTTTCATGCAGCTCATTCCTGGGCGGCACGGCGGGAGGGCCAGACCGTGGAAGGCACAGCTGTAAGTGTCTACCAGGGGTCTGTCCTGGCCTGCGTGGCACCAGGGCACTGCAGGCAGCTGTGTCGGGGAAGGGCAGGGACCGGAACTGGCATTGGTAGGAGGGTGGGCCGGATGGCTGAGGCCAGGAGGAGCCAGCCAGCGTCTCGGCCCCAGGCAGCAGCAGCAGAGAGGGAGCGTTTGGCATCACTTTCTGCTCCAGTAGGTGACCTCTTGTGTTCCATTTGATGCTTTTGACTGACAAGAAAAGGGGCTGCTGTCCACTGCTGTCTCCCCAGCACTCCCTGAAGAAAGGCAGGAGTGTTGGGAGGTAGGTGAGGTTGCTCTATGTTCTTGGAAGCTCTTCGTTCCATAGGACATTCCAGAGAAGCGTTGCAGTTTTCAGGGAGCATGCAGTTAAACTAGCTCTGCTTCTCAGTTCTGTTCTGGAACATTTGCTTTGAATGAATCACCGCTGTACAGTTTAATGTGTTTCCATAAATGTCCTCAGGAACACGAGCAGCCCTTCTGTGGTGATTCAGGGCAGGTCTTTTTAGGCCTTGAGAATGGTAATACCACAGCTGACTTAAAGGTCTGAGTTTTAGAGATCTGTTACTGAGAGCTGTTTTTCCATTATTATGCTTCGGGCTCTAACTAGATTTAGTGAAATGACATTAAATCCTCATTACACTCTTCCCTCCATTTTGCTCTGATAGTAAAAACTTAGGAATGAGATCTCAAGGGACAGAATCGCTACCTCCCCTGACTTCGTCAGTCTGCTGATGATTTAATTCCAAGTAAAGCCAGCTCAACTGAATTAAGATCCACTCCACCTGTAATAAGTGCCTGAGGGCAGTTTGTGTACATTCATAAAAGCCATTTATTTAAGGCCAGTAAATACTAGTGAGGCATTGGTTTCATCAGTTCTTAGAGCAGCACTTGTTTACTGATAATGGTAAGTTTATAAGGAACTTAAACTCTACACACCAGGAAGGAGTCCTTGCTTAGCAAGCAGAGGATTGAATGTTTCCGGAGTGTAATATCTGAATGGTTTCGTAGGAAAGAAAACTAAAATGAATCGAGCAGATAGGTGCTTTGTGTAGCCTTTAAAGTTGTTATAAGATTTAATCTCATTAAATCTTTAATAAGACATTATCATCCCCATTTTTTAGATGAGGTAGGAAGGAGCTTAAGTGACACTTCCAAGGGCCAAGCTACTTTTTTTAAGTAAGAAAGAAAGAAAGCAGAGGAGGGACACAGAGAGGGAGAGACAGAATCCTAACCAGGCTCCCTGCTGACAGCCTGACATGGGGCTCAGTCTCACAAACCATGAGATCATGACCTGAGCCAAGCCCAAATCATATTTGATTTTCTCTATTTCACTTAGCAGAATACATTCTAGTTCCATCCACGATGTTACAAATGGCAAGATTTCATTCTTTTTGATGGCTGAGTAATATTTCAGTGTGTGTGTGTATACATATACACATGCATGCGTACATAGATACATAAAAATGTCACATCTATTCATCAGTGGATGGACATGTGGGCTTTTCCCATAATTTAGCTATTGTTGACAGTGCTGCTATAAACACTGGGGTGCACGTGCATCTTTGAATCAGCACTTTTGTACCCTTTGGATAAATACTTAGTAGTGTGATGGCTGGGTCATAAGTTAGTTCTATTTTTAATGTTTTGAGGAACCTCCATATGTTATCCAGAGTGGCTGCACCAGTTTGCATTCCCACTAGCAGTGCAGAAGGGTTCCCCTTTCTCCGTACCCTCACCAACGTCTGTTGTTTCCCACGTTGTTCGTTTTAGCCATTCTGACAGGTGTGAGGTAGTGTCTCATTGTGATTTTGATTTGTATTTCCCTGATGATGAGAGATGTTGAGCATCTTTTCATGGGCCCATTAACCATCTGGATGTCTTCTTTGGAAAAGTGCCTGTTCATGTCTTTTGCCCATTTCTTCATTAGATCATTTGTTTTTTGGGTGTTGAATTTGATAAGTTCTTTATAGATTTTAGATACTAACCCGTTATCTGATATGTCATTTGCAAGTATCTTCTCCCATTCCATCCATTGCCTTTTAGTTTTATTGATTGTTTCCTTTACTCTGCAGAAGCTTTTTATCTTAATAAGGTCCCAATAGTTCATTTTTGCTTTTGTTTCCCTTGCCTTGGGAGACACGTCAAGTAAGACGTTTCTGTGGCTGAGGTCAAAGAGGTTGCTGCCTGTGTTCCCTACGATTTTGATGGTTTTCCTGTATTATAGTTAGGCCTTTCATCCATTTTGAAGTTTTTTTTACTTATTTTTAATGTTTATTCAATTTTTGAGAGAGTGTGTGAGCAGGGGAGGAAAGGGAGGGGGGGACATAGAATCCAAAGCAGGTTCCAGACTCTGAACTGTCAGCATAGAGCCCAATGAGGGGCACAGACTCACAAACCATCAGATCGTGACCCAAGCCGAAGTCAGACACGTAACGAACTGAGCCACTCAGTCACCCCCATTTTGAGTTTATTTTTGTGTATGGTATAAGAAAGTGATCTAGGTTCATTCTTCTGCATGTTGCTGTCCAGTTTTCCCAACACCACTGGGGAGAGACTGTCTTTTTTCCATTGGATACTCTTTCCTGTTTTGTAGAAGAGTAGTTGGCCATACATTGTGGGTCCATTTCTGAGTTCTCTGTTCTGTTCCATTGATCTATGTGTCTGTTTTTGCTCCCAGTACCACACTGTCATGATAATTACAGCTTTATAATATAGCTGGAAGTCTGGAATTGTGATGCTTCAAGCTTTGATTTTCTTTTTCAACATTATTTTGGCTATTCCAGGTCTTTTCTGATTCCATAGAAACTTTAGAATTGTTTGTTCTATCTCTGTGAAGAATGCTTGTATTATTTTAACAGAGATTGCACTGGATATATGGATTGCTTTGTATAGTATCAACATTTTAACAATATTTGTTCTTCCAATGCATGATCATGGAATGTTTTTCCATGTCTTTGCATCTTCAATTTCTTTCATAAGCTTTCTGTAGTTTTCAGCATACAGATCTTTTACCTCTTTAGTTAGGTTTATTTCCAGATATTTTATGGGTTTTGGTGCCATTGTAAATGGCATCAGTTCCTCGATTTCTCTTTCTGCTGTTTCATTATTGGTGTCTAGAAATGCAGCTGATTTCTGTGCATTGATTTTATATGCTGCAACTTTGCTGAGTTCATTTACCCGTTTTAGAAGTTTTCTGGTGGAGTCTCTCAGTTTTCCAAAAGAGTATCATGTCATCTGTGAAGAGTGAAAATTTAATTTCTTCCTTGCTGGTTTGCTTGCATTTTATTTGTTTTGTCCAATTGCTGAGGCTAGGACTTCAAACACTGTGTTGAACAACAGTGGATAAAGTGAACATCCCTGTTGTATTCCTGACCATAGGGAGAAAGCTCTCAGTTTTCCCCACTGAGGACGATATTAGCTGTGGGTCTTTCATATATGGCCTTTATGATCTTGAGGTATGTTCCTTCTATCCCTACTTTCTTGAAGGTTTTTATCAAGAGAGGATCCTGTATTTTGTCAAATGCTTTCTCTGCATCTATTGAGAGGATCATGTGGTTTTTATTTCTTTTCTTTTTTTTTTTTTTTTTTTTTTACTAATGTGATATATCATGTTGATCGATTTGTGGATATTGAAACAACCTTACATCCCAGGTATAAATCCCAATTGATTGTTGTGAATAATTCTTTTAATGCATTGTTGGATTCACATTGCTAGTATCTTGTTGAGAATTTTTGCATCCGTATTCATCAGAGAAATTAGTCTGTAGTTATTTGTAATGAGGTCTTTGTCTGGTTTTAGAATCAAGGTAATGCTGGCCTCATAGAATGAGTTTGGAAGTTTCCTTCCATTTTTTGTTTTTTGGAACAGCTTCCAAAGAATAGGTATTAACTCTTCTTTAATTGTTTGGTAGAATTTCCCTGGAAAGCCATCTGGCCCTGGACTCTTGTTTGTTGGGATATTTTTGATTACTGATTCAATTTCCTTATTGATTATGAGTCTATTCAAATTTTCTATTTTTTCTGGTTTTGGTAGTTAATGTTTCTAGGAATTTGTTTCTTCCAGATTGCCCAATTTGTTGGCATATAATTGCTCATAATATTCTCTTATTATTTATATTTCAGCAGTGTTGGTTGTGATCTCTTTTCACTCATGATTTTATTTATTTGGGTCCTTTTTCTTTTTGATAAATTTGGCTAGATGCTTATCAATTTTGTTAATTCTTTTGAAAAACCAGCTCCTGATTTCCTTGCTCTGTTCTACTGTTTTTTTGGTTTCGGTATCATTGATTTCTCCTCTAATCTTTACTGTTTCCCTTTTTCTGCTCAGTTTGGGTTTTATTTGCTGTCTTTTTCCAGCTCCTTTAGGAGTAAGGCTAGGTTGTGTATCTGAGACATCTATTTCTTCTTTAGGAAGGCCTGGATTGCTCTAAATATCCATCTTATGACAACCTTTGCTGCAACCCAGAGGTTTTGGACTGTCACGTTTTCAACTTTCATTGGCTTCCATGTACTTGTTAATTTCCTCTTTAATTTCTTGGTTAACCCATTCATTCTTTAGTAGGATGTTCTTTAATCTCCAAGTATTCATGGTCTTTCCAAACTTCTTCTCATGGTTGATTTCAACTTTCATAGCATTGTGGTCTAAAAATATGCAGGACATATCGATCTTTTTTAATTGTTGAGGGCTGATTTGTGACCTAGTATGTGATCTTTTCTGCAATGTTCCATGTGCACTTGAGAAAAATGTGTGTTCTGCTGTTTTAGGGTGAAATGTTCTGAAAATGTCTGTTAAGTCCATTCAGTCCATCGTGCCATTCAAAGACATTATTTCCTTTCGATATTCTGCTTAGATCATCTGTCCATTGCTATAAGTAGGATGTGAAAGTCCCCTACTATTACGGTATTATTTATCAATGAGTTCTTTATGTTTGTGATTAATTGATTTACATATTTGGGTGTGCCAAGTTGGGGGCATAAATATTTGGAATTCTTAGACCTTCTTGGTGGATAGGCCCCTTCATTATGATATAATGTACTTCTTCATCTCTTATTACAGTCTTTGTTTTAAAATCTAGTTTGTCTGATATACGTATGACTATTCTGGCCTTCTTTTGCCATCCAGTAGCATGATACATGGTTCTCCATCCCCTTACTTTCAATCTGCAGATGTCTTTAGGTCTAAAATGAGTTTCTTGTAGCCAGTATATCGAGGAGCCTTGTGTTTTTTGATCCATTCTAATACCCTGTGTCTTTTGGTATTGCCAAAAGAGCATTTAGTCCATTTACATTTAGAGTGATTATTGAAATAGAAATGTGTTGCCATTGTGTTGCATGTAGAATTGTTGTTTCTGGTGATGTTCTCTGGTCCTTTCTAGTCTTTGTTGCTTTTGGTGTTTTTTGTTTTGTTTTCTCTCCACTCAAAGAGTCCCCCTTAAAATTTCTTGCAGAGCTGGTTTAGTGGTCACAAACTCCTTTAGTTTTTGTTTCTCTGGGAATTTCTTTATCTTTCCTTCTATTTTGAATGAAAGCCTTGCTGGATAAGGAATTCTTGGCTGCATATTTTTCCAATTCAGCACATGATCCTCTCAATAGATGCAGAGAAAGCATTTGCCAAAATACAGCATCCTTTCTTGATAAAAACCTGTCATTCCTTTCTGGCCGGGGACTGCGTCTCAGTCACCACACTGCATAAGAGGGCCCTCCTCATCTGTGACAGGCAGCGGCAGCAGAATGTTTGTCATTTGGTTATAAATTAATCTCCCATCCTCATCTTTATACAGAAAGTAACCGAGTACTAATAGCCACCATTTAGCCATTAGTACACAACAATATCGCATAAGTCTGTTCAGATGTAAACGTGAATCCTCTTCCCCTCTACAAGTAGAATGAAAAACAGGGCCTATTTGGTGCTATCCATTGCCTTAACTTTTATCAGAAAGCTATTGGGGCACCTGGCTGGCTCAGTCGGTAGTCGGGGTTGGGAGTTTATACCCCATGTTGGGTATAAGGTTATTCAAAAAGATAAATGAACTTTTTTAAAAAACTATTTTTATTTCTATCTAAGTATGATTTTACTCAACTAGAGCTGACTTTCTTTGCTTTTCCTCCTGCCTCTTCATACAAATAAAACATGTTACTGTATAATGGGGGTGCCTGGGTGGCTTAGTCGGTTAAGCATCTGACCAGCTCAGGTCATGATCTCATGGTTTATGAGGTTGAACCTCACATCAGGCTCTGCTGTCAGCAAAAGAGCCTGCTTCAGATCCTCTGTCCTCTCTCTGTGCCCCTCTCCAACTCATGCTGGTTCTCTCTCAAAAATAAACATTTGGGGGAAAAAACACATTACTATATAATGAAGTTCATGGAAAGATAGGGATTACTTAATAGGAAATCACTTTACTGCGCATGTGACTGAAAAACTCATGTTTTGTTACACGAGCCAAATCTGCACTGCCTACTTTTCACAAATTTTCATACATTTCTTTCTGTAAATTTTTTTCTCAGTTTAATATGGTTATTTAATTTTACAGAGGAGAATCTAGTGAGCAAAGATTTCTGTTGCTACAGCTATTTACATCATTTTTCAGTTTAGTATGTGATTTTTAAGGGGGAAAATACATGGAAATAATATACAAATGCTTTGGTTTTTGTTGATTTTTAACCAATTTGTGACTTTCATATTTTCTTAGATGGTTTTTAAATCCTTGAATTTGGGTCACATTGGTGGCTCAGTCAGTTAAGTGTCTGACTTTGGCTTAGGTCATGATCTCACAGTTCTTGAGCTCAAGTCCCGTGTCGGGCTCTGTGCTGACAGCTCAGAGCCTGGATCCTGCTTCAGATTCTGTGTCTCCCTCTCTCTCGCCCCTGCCCTGCTCACATTCTGTCTTTGTCTCTCTCTTAAAAATAAGTATTAAATCCTTGAAATATGCCTGAGTCATTTATGTTAAGAAAATGTGTGACCATTATGAAGATGATTTAAGGACATTAGTTTGTACTTGAGGCAAAGAGAAATCAGTCTGTAAAATAACTACTCAGGAATGTGGGACAGTTAATGAGCATTTTCTGCTTGCTCTGGTTTTAGGCCTTTTTCCTGGTCTATGCTCTAGGATGTCTCAGTATCTACTATGAGAAGGTAAGATGTCTTATTTAGATACAGTCCACCTAAAACTTTCCTGGCGCCTCCATGGCTCAATTGGTTGGGTGTCCAACTTTGGCTCAGTTCATGATCTCACAGTTCATGGGTTCGAGCCCTGTATGGGCTCTGTGCTGACAGGTCAGAACCTGGAGCCTGCTTCGGAATCTGTGTTTGCCTCTCTCTCTGCCCTTCTCCTGCTTACTTGCATGTGCACTTGCTCTCTCTCTCCTGCTCTCTCTCGCTCTCTCTCAAAAATAAATAAACATTAAACAGTTTTTTTCCCAGGGGTGCCTGGGTGAGTCAGTCAGTTGAACACCTGACTTTGACTCAGGTCTTGATCTCACAGTCTGAGTTCAAGCCCTACGTCAGGCTCTATGCTGACAGCTCAGAGCCTGGAGCCTGCTTCAGATTCTGTGTCTCGCTCTCTCTGACTCTCCGCCTCACTCGTTCTCTGTCTCTCAAACGTAAACATCAAAAAAAGTTTTTTTCCTGATGTTGAAAGCAGCTTGTGATAATTTTCACATTGCTATAATACAAACGTGCCTACTTTCACCCAGTAAAATTGGATCAGATTTTTTTCTGTACATTTAGGCTTTGGGTCCTGAACTGGGACTATTAAGGCAGAAGCCAGCTTTGACTCTTTTAGATTGGATTTCATTCCCAGACTAGGAGCAGAGCAATATCTTAAATAATAATCAGGAAATCTATTAGAAAAGTACTAAAAATTAGGAACAAAAATTAAAGCTGCCAGTGTTTAGCACCAACTTTAGTAAAGGCTGTGTGTTGGGTACCTTAACCTGCATATCCTTGCTTCTGCCTGATAAGAATTCTACAGAGAAGGTATCTGACGCTCAGACGAAGGAAAGAACCCAGCCAGGGTCACACAGCTAGTCCGGTTAGACCTAATAATTGAAGCTGTGTCAGGGCATTCCCAAAGCCGTGATGTGCACTGTAGCCTGCTGCCCTTAGCAAGTCCCACAGGAAGCCGATACCATTGCTTAGCTTCTGGTAGAGGCGTTGGCAGGCTGGGCGCACAGATAGAAGGGGAGACTTCACTGTACACTTTATGCATATGAATAAAATACCTATTCAAAATAATTCAAATGAAATTAAAATTAAAAGGAGAAAGGTAAGCAGAACAATAAATAGAGAATTACATTTTGTACCTAGGAGTGCATAATTTTATCATTAATCAAATTCCAATTATATAAATTCTTTTCACAAGTATTCCAGTGGTTTAGAAACAGATGTCGCCTGATGGGTGCCTCATTTTCACAGATGGTGGCCATTCTTAGCCCACCTTGCGTCCTCCCCAGGCCTTAGCCAAAATCTGTCAGAACATTGCACTGCTACGTAGAATCCTCAGCCTCTGAAACTTGCCGGGCTATCCATATTGGAAGTTCGGCCTTCCTGCCACACTGTGTGTTGTTGGAGGAGCCTGAGTGTTTCCTTTCCTGAGGATTGAACGGCCACGCGTAGGGGCACCTGGCTGGCTCGGTCGTTAAGCATCTGACTTTGGCTCAGGTCATAATCTCATGGTTCATAAGTTTGAGCCCCACATTGTGTGAGCTCATGCCCCACTTCTGGCGAACACCAGCCCCGCTTCGGGCAAAACACGAACACTGCTTCTGGTGAGCCCCACTTCTCTCTCTCCCCCTCCCTCTCACTCTCTCCCCTCCCCCCCCGGGATTCTCTCTCCCTGCCCTTTGCTCACTTGCGCATGCTCGCTCGCTCGCTCTCTCTCTCTTTCTCTCAAAAATAAATACATAAAATAAAAAAATAAAGGCCACACTTACATGGAGTTTCTATCTTAGGAACAACTGCAAAAAAAAAAAAAAAGAATAAGGAGAAGAAAAAAACCTCTAGCACCTATTTATGGATTTAAAATCTTAGGCTGAGACATACTCGGCCAAGTCTGACTGACTGAGCCCTAAACCGTCCAAAAAACGGACTGTTCTCTGAAGCAAGCCGTTCTCAGTCTCTTCACGTCCCCTACAGGAACTCCGTTCCCTTTGAAGCAGTCGGTTACTCACTGTGCCTCCAGTTTCAGGGACTAAACGGAGCATCTTTTTTTTTTTTTTTAAGCTTTTACAGAATTACATTTTGGCTTTTCTGAATGTGGCCTGACACACGGTAGCTACTCACGTGGTGTGTGAAAAGTTCGGAGCGTGCTGCCCTCCGGCTGTGCTGGGCGTGTCACCCTCGAGCTCGAGGCACACACTTGTGCCCTTGGCCGGAGTGTTCCACACCTGCCCACCTCCCGCAGGCCCCCACCGGCCCCTTGCGCCGGCCTCCTCCCTCCTCCCGGCCTCTCCCAGGCCCTCCGGGCCGGTTTTCTCTGGCAGAAATAAATATTAGCCTCAGATGGGAGCCAGGTGGGTCATTTTTAAAATTTTCTAGTAGCCACATTAAAGGGGTTGAAAGGGCGCCTGGGTGGATAAGTCCATTGAGCGTCTACCTCTTGGTTTCCGCTCAGGTCATTGATCTGAGGGTCTCGGGCTGCAGCATGGAGCCTGCTCCAGATTCTTTCTCCCTCTCCGCCCCTCTCCCCAGCTCACACGTGCACATGCTTTCTCTCTCATAAAAATAAGAGGGAGCGTGGGTAGGAGAAAAAAGACAGGTGAAACTAATTTATATTATTTGCAAAATTTGTTTAACTTAGAAATTCCAAACTTACTGAGATAGTTTACTTTCTTGTTTTCCTACCAAGTCTTTGAGATTCCATGTGTATTTTCCCCTTGAGGCACACCTGCCTTCGGGCCTATATCTGGTGCTGCCACCCAGCCAGCATAAGTCCCGCTGCTGTGGGTACGGTGGTAACTGCCTCTGCTCCGCGCTCAGTGTGGACGTCCCCTTCACCAGGTGAATGATGAGTTGACATACGTAATCAGACCCCTCTGTTTGTTTTTTTGGTTGTTTTTTACTGTCATCAGGAGCCTTTAGCAATCCTGAAGCTCTGGAAAGCTTTCCCTGTCGTTCAGCCCACATTCAGGACTACGTACATGGCATACCATTACTTCCGAAGCAAGGGCTGGGTCCCCAAAGTGGGACTGAAGTATGGGACCGATTTACGTAAGTAATTCTTGACTCGGTAGGTACGAGGACCAGGGTTCGCAGCAGACCCCGGGGTGGAGACGGAACTGGTTATGTACTGGTGCTTGTTGTTTCTAAGATGATGCCTTCCTGCTGGCTCAGATAAGAACATTTGGAGTGGAGTGGAGGGTTTGTCCTGGAAGAGTGAAAAGGAAATCTAAGGGGCCCCCCTGGGGATAGAAGCCTGGAGGCCTAAATGTTCAAGCTTTCTCCCTCACTCATTCTGTAATCTGAAGAGAGTTTTACAGCCCTGCCCCCTCCTCTCATTAGCCCCTCACTCCTGTGATTTGGGGAGTCCCTCATCCTCTAGGCTTCATTGTCTCATCTGGCAAATGAGAATAATCACAGAATTAGAAGAATAATCACAGCTACCATTCGTTGAGCACCTACTATGTGTCAAACGTTTTAAAATTCATTATCTTATTGTCCATCAACAGATGAATGGATCAAGAAGATGTGGTTTATCTATACCATGGAATACTACATGGCAATGAGAAACAATGAAATCTGGCCATGTGTAGCAACATGGATGGACCTTGAGGGTGTTATGCTGTGCGAAATAAGTCAGGCAGTGAAGGACAAATATCATATGTTTGCACGTATAGGAGGATTAGGAGGAACTTGACGGAGGAACAAGGGGGAGAAGAAGGGCGGAAATGGCGGGGGAAAGGGAGAGAGGCAAACCATGAGAGACTCTTGAATGCTGACAAAAACTGAGGACTGATGGATGTGGGGAGGAGGGGGGGATGGGCATGGAGGAGGGCACTTTGGGGATGAGCACTGAGTGTTATGTAGAAACTAATTTGACAATAAACTATTTGTAAAAAAAAAATAAAAAAAATAAAAATAAATAAAAATAAAAAATAAAATAAAGTAAAATAAAATAAAATAAAATAAAGAGCAAAAAAATAAATAAATAAATAAATAAATATACCTCAAGGTGGTGAGGTGGGAAGAATAGATAGAATAGGACTGGGGAAATGTTGAAATATTATTGAAGCCAAGTAATGGGTACATAAGAGTTCATTATGCTATTTGATACTTGTATGTTTGAAAATATTTCATGTAAGGGTTAAAATAAAATAGACAAATATACCACTAAAAAAAAAAAAATTCATTATCTTATTTAATCCCTAAAGCAGCAAAGGATACTCTTATTATTCTCATTTTTTCTGATGGTGAGACTGCAGTTGTGAATGGGCCATGTGCCCTAACAGTTTCCAGGGCCAGTAACTTACAGAGCTGGGCTTTTACATTCTGGAGCCCAGGCTCTTAGAAACTGCACCTTCTTATCTTAAAGTAAGACTTCTGGACCTGATGAGCCCTTCATTCAACAGATAATAATGGAGACTCACCTGTGGGCCAGGTCTTTTTAGGTGCCAGGAACACAGAGTGAGTGAGACAAACACAAAGCTGCCTTAATGGAGCTGCGTACATTCTGGCTGGGGAGATGAATAAGCAAACAAGTAAATATATAATGTAGTTCCAGGGACTAAGAAAAATAAAACAGAGTAGAGGTGTAGAGAGTCAAGAAAGGTAGGAAAAGTCTCTGAAAAGATGTGACCGAAAACAAACAAAAGGTGACCACAGTAGGGAAAAGGTCAGTTAAGAATGTGGGAGACCCAGCGTGAACAGCAAGTGCAAAGGCCCTGAGGCAGGAACAAGCTCAGTCAGTTTCAGGAACAACATAAAAACAGGGTGTCTAGAACTCAGAGATCCCAGGGGAAGAGTGAAGAACATGGTAGGCACAGAGGGAACAGCAAGCACAAAGGCCCTGAGGCAGGGAAGTCTCAGGAACAGCGTAAATATAGTGTGTCTAGAACTTAGAGATCCTAGGGGAGAGTTACATGAGGTGATGTCTACGAGTTAAGCTGAGGCAGATCACGTAAGGCCTGGTTGTCATTCTGGTGATTAGAAGTCTTGGGAGAGTTAGAGTAAAGGAGTGACTTAAATGAATAGGACCCTCTGTCTGTTCTGTTACTGGTAGACTGTGGGATGAGGGGCAGGGGGTAAAAATGTTAGCAGATAGACTTTGTTAGGGCCACTGAGCCCAACCAGCCCTGCAGGCAGAATGGATGTAGGAACTTCATTTTTTTTTTTAATGTTTATTTCTGAGAGAGAGAGTGTGAGCAGGGGAGGGTCAGAGAGAGAGGGAGACACAGAATCTGAAGCAGGCTCCAGGCTCTGAGCTGTCAGCACAGAGCCCAATGCAGGGCTCGAACCCACAAACCCTGAGATCATGACCTGAGCCGAAGTCGGACGCTTCACCGACTGAGCCACCCAGGTGCCCCTGTAGGAACTTCATTTAAGAGGAATCAGGGATAACGCTTACATACATGGATTCATGCTTTGGACGTAGTAAGTCCAGTGGAGAATCCGTAAAGAGATGATTTTAGAGCACAGGAGAGCCCTCATGTACAAATTTGGAGTTGTTGTTGTGGAAGCGGCTCCGAGAGCCCCGGGCACGGTGAGTGCACGTGGGTCCTAAGGCCTGTGCCCGGCACTAGCGTCTGCCAAGTCCCTTAAACTCACTTCCCACATCTGCCAAGTGAGGGTGCTTCCTGGATGCTTTTCAGAATTGTTTGTGAGGTTCAAACAAAAACCTCAAGATATTTGAAAGGTCTTCCAAGAAGCCATGGCTCCTGAGGTTTTTTGACCTATGTCATATGCTCCTTCCAAATGCTTTGAGCCTTTTTAAATACCCAAAGAAAGCCCATTCCGTCTTTTAAGTGTGTAAATGCTCTAAACTGTGTTTAACCAGGAATCATAGGGTAGTTTTGGGGAGGATCCAACACAATACAAAATGCTGTGTTTGTAGATGGTGTGTTTTTATGGGTCAAGAGTCCTAACCTTTCACTAAACTCTCAAGCAGGGAGGGACGGTGTCAGCAGTCCAAAGTAAAAGTTAAGGAGTTTCTATCCCTCTAAGATAAATGATTTCTTTTGTTCGTTCTGTGACTGGATTTCAGGCACAGATACCCCAGCTCAGGGCTACCACACGAATCATCAGGACCAGCTTGAGATTAGTTTGCTGGGTGTCCCCGTAATTGTGCTGGCCGCAGTTAACAATGCCTGAATAAGTCAGGTGCCTGTTTTTCCCTCCTTGGCTTCCTGCCCTGTTCTCCTTTCCACACCCCTGTAAGAATAGCCACTCACTGTAAACGCTTGGCAGGTCTTCTTCAGCTTTCTCATTATATGAGTGAAACCTGAGTTAGAACTTTCCAGTCAAGAAGGCTGCAGGGATACATTCAGAAGCAGCAGGGGCTAGTAAAGGGAGCTCTCTGGGTTCACAGCCAGCTCTGCCTCTTTATTGTGTGATCTCAAGTAGGTTACTTCATCTCTCTGAGTTTCCATTTGCTCATCATGTAACATGGATAATGCCATAACATACATGTATATACATATATATGTTTTATATATCTTTTATATATATCTTTATATCTTTATATATATATATAACATCTTCTTTATAAAAACTAAAAAGTTGCAGGGGACACGGGCCTTTGTTGAGTGCCTTCTAAGCATACTTAACTCATGTATTTTCAATACTAAGCCATATTTTTGAATGAAGAGTAATTTTAAAACAAAGTGCCTCATGGGGATGGTTGAAAGGACAGATTTTTTTTTTTTTAAAGAAATGAAACAGTTGCTATTTTCCAACTCCCTGGAGGCCTTTGCTACAGCTGGGTCTATCACATAACTTCAAGCTGCTTGTGTAATTAATAGGAGACCCGGCCTCTGGCCCGGCAGTGGCATGAAAGGTGTCTTTACAGTCCCTGCTGTAGCAGAGGTTCATGAGCAGTGCTAGCCTGGGAAAGGAAGAACGGCTTCCTGGGGTGCCTGGCTGGCTCATTCGGGAGAGCCTGCGACTCTTGATCTCAGGGATGTGAGTTTGAGCCCCACATTGGGTGTAGAGATTACTTAAAATCTTAAAAAAAAAAAAAAAGTAGGGGCCCCTGAGTGGCTCAGTCAGTTAACCATCTGACTCTTGATTTCAGCTCAGGTCATGATCTCACAGTTGTGATATCGATCCTGATATCAGGCTCTGCACCGAACATAGAGCCTGCTTAAGATTTTCTCTCTCTCTCTCTCTCTCTCTCTCTCTCTCTCTCTCTCTCTGCTCCTCACCCCCTCCCTCATTCACATATGCTCTCTGTCACGCTCTCTCTCGGTCTCTCTCTCTCTCTCAAAAAACAAAACAAAACAAAATTTAAAAAGAGGCACAGTTTCCTAAACTTCACCTCTTCTCTGGGCACAGTTCCTCAGTGGCTGCTGTTTTTTAACAATATTATTTTGAGGGCTGGTGACCTGATCACACATGCCCTAGAACTGCCAACACAGGTTAAACCCAGGACATCCTCTCTTGACCATTGTTTCTGTTTACAGAGGTAATGACTCATGACAAAGGGCCCTTATGAAATTCACATCTTATCAGGGAAACTCTTCCCATGAATAAATCTTGTCAGTCACATTTCATTCCAGGAGCGGTACTGCGAGCTAGTGATATGGATCTCAAATCAGGGGCAGCTGCCCAGCTACTTGACCTTGATCACCCACTGATGAAAACTAGACTAGAAACCAAGTGGGAGCCTTCCCTTACATTCCCCACCCAGAAGCTCCCACAGCTGCCGGCTCTTCCCACGACCGGGCACTTTGCCTTGGTGCTTTCCTTCCCTCCTCTTATTTACCTCTGGTACTCCTGTGAGGCATGTGTTATTCACCTCCTTTTATAGGACGCTGAGGAAATTATGGCTTTAAAGGGTCAAGGGAGTCGCCAAGGGTCCCACAGCACGTAAGTGCAGAGATTGGCTGTCGGGTCCGATCTCTGTGTGCTTCCACCACACGGAGCTGCTGTTGCGCCCCAGGAAGGTAACGTGCAGCACCAGGTGTAGATTTGTTTTTCCTGACGCAGGCAGCTACTGGTTGGTGTGACTTAAGATGTAGTTACTCCCAAGCCTCCTTCCCACACACTCCAGTTTTAGATTTGCATTGACTAAGTTTGGTCATGTGATTTCACAGCTGCTTGCAAATGAGAAGTGGAGGGACAAGTGGAATGACAGCAGCTGTTAGAAGCCAGCAGAGTTATGGGGCAACTGGGGGCTCAGTCGGTTAAGTGTCCAACTGGGGCTCAGGTCATGATCTCACAGTTCGTGGGTTCGAGCCCCATGTTGGGCTCTGTGCTGAGAGCTCGGAGCCTGGAGCTGCTGCAGATTCTGTGTCCTCCTCTCTCTGCCCCTTGCTCTCTCTCTCTGTCTCTGCCTCTCTGTCTCTGTCTCTCTCTCAAAAATAAATAAACATTAAAAAAAAAAAAAGAGCCAGCAGAGTTAGAGGGTTCCCAGAGCCCGAGGGAACCATCCCCGGGCTTGGCACCCCGCCTGGAGACTGAGAACCGCTCTCCCACCAGGGGGAGGCTTCAGAGCAGCTCCTCTGTCCTCCTCACAGAACAGCCTTCTTCCGTCTCCCTTTTTGGTTCTTTCCTGCAGGACTCTCTTGGGTTTTTTTCTAGTCAAGTTTTTTAAATATTTTAATGTTTTCCACATCTGTGCAAATAAGCCATAGTATTTCTGCACGTAGCTCATAAGAATAGGGATGTTCTCCTGCATAACTGTAATATCGTACAATACCTGAGAGAAATCAGAATTTTTCTTTTTTCTTTTTTAGTTTTTTTTTTTTTAACACTTATTTTATTTTTGAGAGAGAGGGAGACATCGAATCCGAAGCAGGCTCTAGGCTCTGAGCTGTCAGCATGATCTAGGACCCATGAAGAAGTCGAATGTCTAACCAACTGAGCCATCCGGGCACCCCTATAGGTTTCTCTTTTATTTTGCTAGGGCTGCCATTATAAATTACTACATACTGGGGGGCTTAAAACAGCAGAAACTCTCTCACAGTCCTGGAGACCACAGCTCACAGGCCCACTCTCCCTCCAAAGGCAGGAGGGAATTCAATCCCCTGTCTGTAGTGTTTCTGGCAGCGCCGGGCATCCCTTGGCTTATAGCCACATCACTCCAGTCTCTGCAAAGGACCTTCTCCAAATAAAGCTGCATTCCCAGATCCAGGTATTAAGACTTGGACGTACTTTTTGGGGGCCACACTTCACCTTACTATAGCCTCTGTGACTTTTTTTAATCTAAAACAGTTTCTGTAGCTTGTTGATTTTTCATGACGTTGAGTTTTCTTGAAGAGTCTGAGAGGATATCCCACATTCTAGATATGATTGTTTCCTTATCATTAGACTCCAGCCCACCATTCTTTAGCACGCATGGGTGCTGTGGGTATTTATTGTGCCCCATTGGGAGGTACTTAATGTCAGGCTGTCCCACTGTTGATGAGACTACTTATGATCACATGACCAAAGTGACCGTTGTCAGATGTCTGTTGTAAAATTACATTTTTCCTTTTGTGATTAACAAGTAACGAGTAGGGTGAGACTGTGCATATCTCGTTCCCCAATAATTACAACAGTTGCCTGAATTAATTACTTGTACTACTCATTTTGTAATTCTGTCATTCCTTCCACAGCCATCCCTGGCATTCACTTACAAAAAGGAGCTTTCCCTTCATTTCCTGGTTCTTTCAGACTTTTTTTTTTGAGTGCCCGGGATTTCTTAGACTTGAAGTTTTCATCTTTTTGCTTGAGAGGCATTTTTGTAGGACGGTTTTACTTTACCTTCTGAATGCACTGTCATCATTAGGATTACTCTCCTAGGTACCATTTTGAGCCTTTATTTTATGCCAGCCACTATGTCAATGCCTCTATCTTCAGTCGCTACACCAGGTTTTTCATAATAAGGAGATTGAAACACAGGGTGTCATCATGTCGTCTTGACACTCCTAAGGCTTGAACTCGAGTCTTTCTGATGTCAGTGTTCATGCATTTAACTTCTAAACCATACCGTCATCATCAGTCATCTGAAGTGACCCAAATGTAGGTAAGAGCTGCTTTCAGGCTGTGAATATTCCAGCATGGCAGATGCATGTGAGATTTAAGATGTGTGCCTGATCATAAACATGGTGCTTGAGGGCTAGAGAAGGTCCCAGTTTCCCCTTGTTCTTCATTTTGTAAATCTGGAAACTGAGGCCCAGAGATACTAGTAACTTGTTTGAAAGTCACACCACCAAGAGTGGCAGCGAATGGACAGGAAACAAACTCCTGAATTCAAGTTCATTCCAGTATGTAGTTTCCTTCCCCTGCATCTCAGAAAACTGAAGATTGTTTGTTGGGTATTTACTTAATTTGTGCCCCTTACACAGTGAATTTGAGCTGCTTGCCAAATCCTTTAAACATACTTTAAATAGGAAATAAAATAATAAAAAGGAAATGTGACCCTAGAAAATGTACTGTAGGTGAAGGGTTGCTGTATTGTCTGTAGGATCCTACAGGATAACTAACTCAGGCTGTAAAGTTGCCTCTGAGCTTGCTGAGCCTAAGGGAAATGTGATTAGCTACACTACTGATAGGGCCAAAAAGGAAAATTCTATCAACTCCTCAATGGATAAAAAGTTTTTCTGCTTTAATTTGCACTGGCCACAAGCTTACAGATGTAATTATCAGTAAAGATAATTCTTTTAGCTATAGTTACATATAAACCCCAAATCTCAGAGGCCTAACAATTTCATTGCATGTGAAATTCAAAACCAGTGTCTGTGGTGGGCCAGTCGACTCTCAAAGGTGCTTCGGGAGCCCAGGCTTCTTCCTTGTAGCTCCGTGTCTTCACCACATGCCTTTCAAGGTCACCTTCAAAAAGGAATAAGCACAGGCTTGGTACGTGGGAGAGTTTTATGACTAGCCTGGCTGCTTGGGAAACAGAGACATGGTCTGGCCGTGTGCCTGGAAAGAGAGGAGAGCAAGGTTTGATGAACGAATAGCTACTCCCTCCACAGACTATGGGCCTTGGAAGGATCCCCTGTGCAGTCCACGTGGCAGAGTCCCTGCTCCAGGCTCGTTTGGGCACTGGCTTTTGACCTCCATAGATTAAATCCGTAGGGCAGACTGAATTCCACAAGTGGCGTGTGTGGTGACTCATCTCTATTACCAACACTCAAGTCAATTGGTACCTGGCCAGAGTAGAGTAGCTCGGACACTTTGAATTACTCTGATGTGAAATTAATAACAAAATGTTGGTCCGCATTATATGAACTTCACATGTTGTGACATTGTTTCACATTCTCCCTCTGGAGATTGTAAGACCAGAGGCAAGACAAAAGTCATTTGTATTTGAGTTTGGATTTCATTTGTGGGCTGAGGGTGGTGTGAGAATGTTAGGGTCCTGGCCACAGATTTGCTTTACTAATTTCATTTTGTTCCAAGGGGAAAAAAAAAATAGTTGGGTTTTAAAAATAGATGACTGGACATATTGCAGATAACCATATACAGATAATTGGGTATTTATGTCTCTTTGGAGAAGAGGAAACATCAGTAATAAAGTAAGATTTTGATTCCAAGAGGTTATACATTTTCTCTCTTTTTCTTTGCAGTGTTGTATCGAAAAGGCCCTCCATTTTACCATGCAAGGTTTGGAGTGATTTTTTTTTTTTTAATGTTTTATTTATTTTTTGAGTAAGAGTGTTAAGCGAGGGAGGGGCAGAGAGAAGGATCTGAAGCAGGGTCTGCACTGACGGGCTGATAGCAGTGAGCCCATCGTGGGGCTCGACTCACAAACCATGAGATCATGACCTGAGCCAAACTGGGATGCTCAACCAGCTGAGCCACCCAGGTGCCCCTGCAGTGATTTTTTTTAATAAGGCAGTAGTTTCAAAGGACAGGAGGAAATTTCTGACCTCCAGTATAATCGGTGCCACAGAAACAATTACAATCCTGTTTCTCTTGGCCTGTTAGGAATAGATGCTCTGCAACTTTGGCTTATACACTAATGTTGTACTATGTACATAGTAATAAATAGGTTACGTTTTAGTATTACACATTGAGTTAACCTATGCAATAATTGTTATCTTAATATCAGTGAATATCTAAACCGTTGAATGAATTCACAGCTTGCTTTGTTGGGCGAAGTATTCCTGTTCCCTCCTTATCAGTGTTGAGATCAGCCTGAAAGATTGTAATATAAAGTGGGAGTTTTTCATTAATATTTTTCCCAATAACACTGTAGGCGAATTTAGAATGAGGCAATGTACATAGTATTTTCTATATCTTTGTTCTTGGTGGAACAAGCATTATTCTTTTTAAAGAGGTTGATTTCATGCTTTTTAATGCCCTCTGTGTGTCTTTCAGTTACTCGGTCATTATTGAGTTAGTCAACGACGATTTTGAGGGCTCTCTTCGCAGACCTTTCAGCTGGAGGTCACTGGCTGCCTTGAGCAGAGTTTCAGTTAATGTCTCCAAGGTAATGACATCAGCTTTGGCATTCACGTGTCACTTAAATGGTTGATTTTTTTTTTTCTTGAATGTAGTAGAATCATAGAAGTCATCTGTAGGAACTTCACAGCGTTCCTGCCAGTGAGGTTCTAAAAGGTGAGGCTAGAAGCTGACCTCCCCTCGTATCCCCTGCCCCCACCCTCTGGTACTGAGCGCCACAAATTGAGCCTCAAAGATCCCTAGTGATTGATGTAGAGGAGCATTGCCTCCCATTCTGGGGCGGCCGTCAGCACACGCTCAAAAGTCACTCACCCACATTCACAAGGGAGTCAAAACATTGATTTCTTTTCAGAGCTAGCAGATCTCTTGAAGCGAGAGGAAGGAATTAATATTTATAGCTAAACACCGTACATGTTTTCTCACCACCCTGTTGGTGTCCTTATCCCTAAGGGTGAGGAATCAGAGTCAGAGATATTAAGGTGCATACCCAAGGTCATGCAGTTTATATGCAGAATGGGAATTCAGACCCAGAGTCGTGTGACTGCGGGACTCGTCTCCGGCTCTATCCTGCTGCCGTCAAGACCGGAGGGAAATTTCATCCTATGCCAGGACTACGAAGGATGAAAGCTTTGTGTGTTCGCTGTTACTCAGTAACGTGCTAACCGAACAGACGGCGAGCCCCCTCCGGTTCGTCCCACTGCTGCCGGAGGCGCCGTGAGAGGTGGGGCCCGAAGGCCCAGCGGAGGCAGGGGGTGACTGCATTGCATGCAGGTGAAGCTGCTTAGGTTTAGCCTGTAAAAAGTAGCTTTACCTTTTAGAAATAGGGAATCTATATATACTGTTTCCAGTAGTTTTGCACCCATTTTATGAGACTGGTCCTCAGTCTAGATCCCGGGCCCGGGTGTGTTCCTGGAGGAAACCGATGTGGTTTGTGAGTTTCCAGGAGCACCCAGCGGGAGGGCACGGAGACTGCCCACACTTCCTGCTGACGCCCCCAGATGTGTGTTGTTACTGTGCGCGATGTAGAGATTGTTCTTCATTTCTCGATAGGAACTCATGCTGTGCTATTTGATTAAACCCTCTACCATGACTGACAAAGAGATGGAGTCGCCAGAGTGTATGAAACGAATCAAAGTTCAGGTAGGTACACTCAGATTCAGGGCATCCCAAAGATTCTGTCCGCCATATTGTGTCCTCTGGAGCACATGGTCCCAGGTAAAGAAAGGAAAACCTTCTTGCTTTGGTAACGGGAAGTCCCACAGGTCCTCTTCCTGCCCGCTCTCGCTGCCCCTTAACTCCTGCTGCTGCTTTACCTGCCATGTCACCTGGCCTCCGTCCCCACCATTCAGCTGAAACTGCTCTCACAGACAGCCTGGGACCTTCTGGCCAGGCCTCTCCCAGGCCCCATTCCCAGAAACTGCAGTGTCACTACCAGCTCACTCTCTCCTTGAACTTCTCATCTGGCTCCTGAGTCTTCCTGGCGAGTTTTTCTCTAGCAGGACCGCCACGTTCATCAGGCTCTCCCCGCGGATTACTTGCTGTTTCTGCCCGTCCCCTCTGCCTGTGACTCCTCCCCACATGCAGCCGCCCTCGTCCTCTGCCATCTGTAACGTTGCACCCCGTCCCCTTGTTCACACCACCCTGTCCCTCTACAGCCCCCCCAGTCTCCAGTCGGCCTCAGCACCCCATCTGACCAGTCTGTCTTACCCGTGTCCACTAGGTTAGCTGTTCGTTAAACGCCAGCCCAGGTCCACTTCCCCCTTCTCAGTGCGGCCCAGATCCCCCAGCACCGTCTCAGATGTGGCTCTCATGGTAAATGCTGGCTTTCGTGCTCCCGTTCCTGAAATGTGCCAGTGGGATGCCAAGGCCAAGGCTAGTTTAGCTTTTAAAATCTCTGTGTGGTTGTGTGGGTAGTATTTGTGTATGAGGTGTGTGCCGCCTCCCTTCACTTTTCCCCAGATGTTTCAGTGACAAAGAACAGGTGTCATCAGTGTACAGACCGTTCCTTGTGAAACGCTGCCATGATGTCACCCACCTAGCATGTTCTTCCATTTCTGATGTTGAAATTTTTAGTCACCTTTTTGCTTTGACTGGTTGCAGGAGGTGATTCTCCGCCGTTGGGTTTCTTCACGAGAGAGGAGTGACCAAGACGAACTTTAACAATTCAACCTCAGAATTCTGATTTACCAACAAATACTGTTGAGTCTCCTACATAAGCCAAGTTCTGAGTGAGGTAAAAAGTCCTCTTATTATAATCACCAAGAATTGAAAAGTTATCAAGGGGATGGCCCTCCCAGCACCAAAAAGCGATTCCTGTTTCAAAAGATAAACTGACACAGGAGAGAACAAAGACTGTCGTGCTGGCCTTCAGACTCTGATCCTGACTAAGGCGCTGAGCCTGACCGGTGCTGGGCTGTGCGTCTGTGGGCCTGCGTCCTCCTCCATTCAGTAAGGGTGCTGGGCTAGATGAGCTCTAGGAGGACTCTTCCAGCCGCAAGGAAACTCTGCTACTCTCTGATTTTACCTGAAAATGACAGTAGTTTACATTTGTGTGGCCCGGTACAGGTTCCCAAGCACTTTTGTACGCGTGCGTCTCCTGTTACTCATATCCGGAGACGAGATTTGGGGATTGTAAGACCCTGTGTGCCCGTAGGTTAGATGGAAAAAATGATGAGTCTCCTCTTATCTAAGAACTTCAACCAATTACTCAAACACTTAAAAATCCACTTACTGCCTGTCAAGGAGTTCTGTATCATAAAGCCTTTTCAAAAACATCATTACCTAATCTTGAACTCTCAGTGAGCTCACCAATGGGCACGTTAGCGTCCAGTACACAACAATATTATACAGTATTAGATAAAAATTGCATCGTGCTTCAGTGAACTTGTAAAATAAAAATAGGTAGTGAAGTAATGTATGAAGATACATGATGAATGAGGTTAGCTCAATAAACAAAGCCTTTTTCAAACTGGTTACGCACCAGTGACGGTTTTGCAGGGCGGCAGGGGTGGAGGGGAAGATGAGCACGGGGGAACCAGCCACAGCCTGAGGGAAGCAGATGTCTGAGATCCGTCCAGTGTCCAAATTCAAGACAATGGCCGCATTGGCACCGCATACCCGGAAGTGGACGGTGAGAGCTGGAATGTTCGCGTTCCCGTGACACGTGGTCTCAGAGCCCCAACGGCCTGAGATTCCGCCTGACGTTGTGTTTTGGAACGTGGTGCTTCCTTCCGTTCCCGTCATCATCCTGCTCTCACAACAGAAGCGTTAGATCTGCACGATCTACATTTTTAAAGATTTGGCCTTCAAGTAAGGGAGCTCCTATTTTTCCCTTTGATGCAGACCAGTAATGATCATCAGTTTGAAAGAGCTTCTTAGTAATAGGCCTTTTTGCTCTTCGTTAGCGAACATTTTTACTACCCACTCTGCCCTCACCAGGCTCCTTAGCAAAGTCAAAGACTGTTTTCAAGCCTCATCACTTTCTGAAAACTCTGAAAGTCAGCAAAAATTTCAGGCACTGTTTTTTCCCTATTTCATTTGTTGTTTGTGGTGACGCTTCTCTCCACGCCTGATCAGTGCATCATATGCCTTGATGGTAACAACTCTCCCGTGAATCCTTCACAGTTCTGTCATCGTGTGAGAGCTCCACATCACATACCTTATCATCTGCTAATGTGCCTTCAAGGTTGTAGTGACCCCTTCATGTGAAGGCTACAGTAAAGATGTAGAAAAGCCACAAGACTACAAAGATAATTACTTGTAACTGAAAGCTCTAGAAGGATGCCCAAAAGCATCACCTTTAAACAAGCCTTGTAGGAAAGATTTTCCCTCTTCATGTACACCGACTGAACACGCTGCAGCGGGCCAGACACTCCTCAGCATTTCGCAAGGGCCCTGGGGTTCTGGAACAATGTACCAGCAAAGGTTTTGGGTTACATGCGCCTCACAGTTACCAGCTAAAAGCAGTATTGGCTTGTCTTTAGATGTATTATGTCCTGGCCCTTTTTTCTTTTTTTTTTTTTTAATGTTTTATTTATTTCTGAGAGAGAGAGAGAGACAGTATGAGCAGGGGAGAGTCAGAGAGAGAGGGAGACACAGAATCCGAAACAGGCTCCAGGCTCTGAGCTGTCAGCACAGAGCCCGACGTGGGGCTCGAACCCACGAACTGTGAGATCATGACCTGAGCCGAAGTCGGACACTTAACCGACTGAGCCACCCAGGCGCCCCTGTCCTGGCCCTTTTTTCTTTTTTTTTTTTTTAATGTTTTATTTATTTTTGAGGGAGGGAGGCAGAGCGTGAGCAGGGGTGGGTCAGAGAGAGAGGGAGACACAGAATCGAAACAGGCTCCAGGCTCTGAGCTGTCAGCACAGAGCCCGACGTGGGGCTCGAACCCACGAACTGTGAGATCATGACCTGAGCCGAAGTCGGACACTTAACCGACTGAGCCACCCAGGCGCCCCTGTCCTGGCCCTTTTTTCTTCCCTTCTGAAATAAATGTAACAGATGGCATGTGCTTTTAGAAAAAAGCTCCAGTTCAGCAAGATTGGAAATTCGCTGTGATAAAACCGCCTTCAGGCATGGCTGAGTTTCACTGGGGACATGCTGCCACCTCACAGAGCAGAAGTTGCTTCACCCACTCTCTTCAAAGCATGTTTTATGCGGTTCTTAAATCTCGAACCTTTGAGATTTGCTTTAAAACTGGAGTTCTTCACACACACACACCCCACCCAGGTCTCCCAAGGCATCTGAGCTGCCCACTGCACCAGCCCGTGCCCAGTGGCACCACGCCAACTGGCCCCCCACCGTCCATACAGAACTTCACTGGCTTTATAAGAGCACGCCACACTCAAGAACGCCGTGGAACTTTGTGGAACCAACACTTTTTACAAATTGTGTTTCGTTACCCAGTGCAAAAAAAATAAAAAACAAAAAAGGAGGAACACATACGTGGCCAAGGTTATATCTTATAGGACCACCTTTCTCAACTCTCACTTCTGATTTTTTTTTTTTTTCCTAATAAAGGGAATTTTCTTGGGCCTTTAAAACACCCCCCACTTTCATAGCACCTGGGTGGCCCAGTCCGCTAAGCATCCAACTCTTGATCTTAGCTCAGGTCATGATCTCACGGTTTGTGGGATCGAGCCCTGCCTTGGGCTCTGTGCTGATAGCATGGAGCCTGCCTGAGATTCTCTCTCTCCCTCTCTCTGCACCTGCCCTGCTTGCATGCTCTCTCTCTTTCTCAAATAAATAAACTTTTTAAAAAAATCCTGTTTCAGTCTGTGACTCCCTCTCTCTCTGACCCTCCCCTGCTCACGCTGTCTCTCTCTCTCTCCTAGAAATAAATAAAACATTAAAAAATAAATAAATAAAAATAAAAAAATCACTTACTTTCTTCATGGGCTTTTCCACTTCCCTAAGAGATGTTTTTACTTAATAAACTGGGAGAAATGATGTGACAATACACCACACACCTAAACAGCACAAGCATCGGGGGGGCCTATGGTCTGGGCACTCAGAACCTAAACAATTTTGCTGCAGACTCCTATACTCATTATTCTGTATTTGGATAGCCAATATACCTTTTCATTTATTTATTTTTTTGCATATTGTTGTAGCAAATATTCAGATGGGGGTTTAAGATGGGGCAGACACCTGTGTTCTGGCTTATCACACAATAGACTTTTTTTTCCCAATATAGGAAGTCAGTTTTACTTCAACAACTATAGATAAATGAACAATTGAAATTGAAATTGAAAAATAAAAGCACCATTTAAAATCATAACATAAATCATGAAATACTAAGGTATAAATCTTAGAATCACACAACACACTTTGGACTTCAAATAGTGGGAGCCTGCATAGGACAAAGGTTTGAGGCTCAGAGATGTGACCACCTCACGCCACTGCCACAGAGTACAAGCGGGGGACTCGACCCGAGAGCTCTCGGTCCTATTTAGCGCCTTTACAAGATCTCCACATCTAAAGCGACACCAACCTAGAAAAGCATGCGAAGTCAGAAATGCGGCCCTGTTAGGGCCTGGGTGGAGGTTAGAACGGAAGGCTGACCAGCACTGCCGGCAGGGCTGGGAACGTGCTGATACAGCTGGCTGGTGGCCCCCCGCCTCAGTGTTGGGGTGCAGCCTGGGCCCCCACCAGGAACATGCTCTTGCATCTGGTCTCGGCATAATCTTCAGGAGGTTGCCAGTTTCCATGAGGACCGTCTCTGAACCCCACTTACGAACCTGGGACCACTGTGTGGTTCTTAACTTGTTATTAGTCTCACAGAGATAATTTTATTGAAGGTGAGGTAATGGAGTGAGCCTTCTACAAAGGAACCAGTCAAATCTCAGCCCTCCTTTCGGTTTCTTTGTAATGTTTATTTTTGAGAGAGAGAACAAGCAGGGGAGGGACAGAAAGAGGGAGACACAAAATCCAAAGAAGGTTCCTGCCCAGGCTACAAGCTGTCAGCACAGAGCCCGATGTGGGGATCAAACCCACAAACTGTGAGATCATGACCTTAGCCAAAGTCAGATGCTCAAGAAGCACTGGACATGTGATGGAATTTCCCCTCCCTTCCCAGGCTTGATGCAAGCCCACCAAGCTGGCAAGAGACCAAAAAGACACAATGTCAGTTTATTTATATTTAGAGCAAAGTCTGGGGTGAGAACCGAAATGCATTTGTGGAAGTCAGGCCCCTCCTATAACATGCAGGTATGACTTGTACAGAGAAAGTGGAGAACTGAGGGCCTTCGGTGGCCAGAAGGGCTGTTCTGTCAGCACAATGAACTGCCTTACCTTCATCCTGCCATCTGAGGAGCCCATGGCTAGACTAGCAATGGGGCACCGATAAATGGTTCTGCATTGCAAACTGCCCAGCCTTTAAGGCACCACCTCCTCAGGTTAGACTCAGTAGCTTACAGTTTTCAGGATTTATTTTTATTGTATTTTTATTTATTTTGAGAGAGAGAGCACAAGCAGGGGAGGGGCAGAGAGAGAGAGAGGGAGACGGAAAGTCCCAGGCAGGCTCCTCACTGTCAGCGCACAGCCCAACACTGGCCTCGATCCCACAAGCCCTGAGATCATGACCTGAGCTGAAATCAAGAGCTGGACATTTAACCTAACCGACTGAGCCACCCAGTTGCCCCCAATCTTCAGGACTTTTAAAATGTTGAGACTGGCTGTCAGCACTTGCTTGGTCTCTTTGATTGGCCTTGGCTGGATGACAAGATGGCTAAGTCTCCTTGGTTTGGAGTCAGACACAGGTTTGCATCCCAACTCATCCCTTTACGAGCTGTGTGATCTGAAGCTGTTTCCTCATCTATAAAATAGAGTTAATGTAATCAGCATTCACATACAAGGGACTACTGTTCAGCCACAAAAAGGAGTGACATGCTGGTACACGCACCGTGGATGGGTCTCAAACACCTATCAAGTGAAAGAAGGAAGTCAGATACACAATGCCACCTAGTTTCTGATTCCAGGTATAAATCCGTGGAGAACACAGATCAGTGGGTACCAGGAGCAGTGGGGGAGGAGGACTAGGGAGCAACTGCTTGGTGGGTCCAGACTCTCGTTTATGGAAGTGGAGGTGGTGGTTGCACAACACTGAATCTACTAAGTGCAGAATTGTCCCCTTTAAAATAGGTTTATGTGATAAGAATCTCCCCTCCATGAAAAAAGTAATTAAAAATAATAATGATGCCCAGAGGCTTGCTGGAAGATTAAGTGGCTTGGCCCTTACAAGATGCATATTAGCATGCCTGGCTCATGATGGACTTCCAGTAATTTCCAGCTATGCTGATTCACTTGGGGAGGCAAGAGGAAGTTCTGTCTTAAGACCCACCATTACGCATCATCTTAAGGCAGAGATGTGTGCAGTCACTTACTGTACATTGATTCTTAGCTTCAGTTTCAGAGGCTGCATTTTTCCAACTTCATTCCCAGACTATGAGGGGAAATCCTCTACTGGCCTACGTTCTCCTGTAAGGAGACTCAGTTCTATAAAGTGATTCATACATTACACTTGGCAGGGATTAAACCAACATGAAAAATCTGATTACAGACTCAATAATTATACTATGAATATTAACCTCCTTGAAACGGAGGTCCATTTCTTTTCTTTTTTAATGTTTTATTTATTTCTAGGAGAGAGAGAGAGAGAGAGACACAGCATGAGCAGGGGAGGGTCAGAGAGAGAGGGAGTCACAGACTGAAACAGGCTCCAGGCTCTGAGCTGGCAGTCAGCACAGAGCCCGGCGCGGGCCTCGAACCCACAAACCGCGAGATCATGACCTAAGCGAAAGTTGGACGCTTAACCGACTAAGCCACCCAGGCGCCCCATGGAGGTCCATTTCTGAAACTGAGAGCTATCTAATGCTTGATTTATCTTCAATCTTTTTTTTTTATATATAAGCTGAAAAAACTTAGTCTTTCTACCATCTTGTGTAATACAGGGATGCCTTACGAATGCATGATATGACAAAGCACATTTCTGAAACTGTTAAACTAAGAAGTAGAGTTTTTTTAATTTCAAGGTAATTCACTCTTTTAAAAAATGAAAGGTTGCAAGCATTTAAGATTTTTTAGAATCTCTACATTTTCAGAAACTGTATTTTCAGGTAAATAGTCTTCCTTTTATTTTTTTTAAATGTTTATTTGTTTATTTTGAGAGAGAGCTAGGGAGGGGCACAGAGAGAGAGAGAGAGAGAGAGAGAGAATCCCAAGCAGGCTCCACACTGACATTGCAGAGCCCAGTGTTGGGCTTGAACTCACTGACCATGAGATCATGACCTGAACCAAAATCAAGAGTCGGACACTTAACCAACTGAGCCACTCGGTGACCCTCTTCCTAACCTTTAAATGGCAACTTCTGATAAAGTAGAAAGAGTGGAATTAGAAAAACCTAGGTCCAAAATCCAAGTCTACGCTCAGGAACCCTTGGGAGCCTTCCCTTATCACTCTGAGCCTTTGCTTCCTCGCCTGTGAAATGGAGACCTTGCAGCCAGCTGAGTGTGTTTTGCAGACTAAATGGAAGGGTCTGGCATGAAGCAAGTGTACTTTTTTCCCCTTTCAGATAAACCAAAAGTATAAGCACTGCCATAATTGTTTTCTCTAGGAAACGCAAAGCCTATTTTATGCCCTGGTAGGTGACACAGTGGAGGAGAAAGAGGTGACAGAAAAATAGTTGGAGATAAAGTGGTGAAGACAGCTCCGGAGATGGGGAGAACTTGCGCCTCCTGTGCAAGTGGAGCCAGAAATGGCCCTTGTGTGTTTTTTCTAAAACAATGCTTATTGGGTCTTCCTGGTTATAGGAGTAATTCCGTGCACGCCCTAAAGGCTTTGGGGAAATGCTCTGGGTGGATCATTATAGACTTTCAAATCCGTTAACCCTGAGCAGCTTCAGGGTTTATGACCTTGCAGTGAAAAGGAGCCCAGCAGTCATTGCGTGAGGTTTGAAGAGAACTGGATGTGTGTGCAGGGCAGCACTAGACGATGAGACGAAGAGGTGCATTGTGGGGGGAAGGGGGTGCCAGGGAGAACTCTTCTGGGAGGCAGAGTTGGTGCCAATGCTGACTCTCCTCGTCCTTCAGGTAGCATTTAGCTGGTATGATAAGCTTTTTTTTTTTTTTTTTAATGTTTTATTTATTTCTAGGAGAGAGAGAGAGAGAGAGAGACAGCCTGAACAGGGGAGGGTCAGAGAGAGAGGGAGTCACAGACTGAAACAAGCTCCAGGCTCTGAGCTGGCAGCCAGCACAGAGTGTGACGCGGGGCTCGAAACCACGAACCGCGAGATCATGACCTAAGCGAAAGTCGGACGCTTAACCGACTAAGCCACCCAGGCGCCCCGCTGGTATGATAAGCTTAATGGGAGCATTCTCAGTTCATAATTCTGCAAACCTGAGCAACATTGCCATCTCTTGGTGGTGTGTCAGTGCTTAATTTCCTTCATCAGGGGTGCCGTTTGTAAGGCGGTACTGTGATTCTTATGAGGGAATTTGCAGCCTGCTGAAGTGAAAGAAGAAACAGACTGACTACTGCCTTGTCACCTTCGGGTTGGAGGGCAGCCCCTAAAACAGGGACTGGAGACCGTGAAAGCTTTGTTTGAAAATCAAGGAATGCATCACCAAGAGAGCAGGAAATTGGCATTTTTAACACTTACCCTTCTTCTTTTATCTGATTTTTTATGACATTTACTTCCATCCCATATTTGAATATCGATGAAAGCGAAATGTTTATTTTCTCCTTTATCTTCTCTAATGGTGGCAAATGGGTGACCCAGTTGCCGCGCACCCTGGGTACCGTTGGTTGATTTCAGGCTGGCAGGTAGTCCAGTGGTTATGTGCATGGACTTCGCAGTCAAACCTAGACCTGACCTCTGGTTTTTCCTACTGTGTGACTTTGGGCAAGGCTTTTCCTCAGTTTCCCTTTTCATGTGTAAATTGGGCATATTGTTAGTACCTACTTCTTGAGTGGCCTTAAGGATTAAAAGGGAAGAAAGATTAAGTTTACTCAAGTATGAGTCCCCAATACTCATTAATTACAGCTGCTCTGATCATCAGTAATTGGGTAAAGAACTGGACCAGAGAAGTAGAGTCCTAAAATGGTGTGTTAGGAGAATGCGGACAAATTGGAACATGTCCCAAACTCAACACTTGATTTGTCACCTTTACCCAGTGAAGCCTTTATGACTTCTTGAACACCGCAGAATAGTAGTCACGATTCTGTTGAAAGCAGTATCATATTCTGGGTGGGAAGTTTTGTTTTTCAAAGGACCTGAACTTATAAATGCAAATGTTGGTGTCCCGTGCATTTTTTTCCCCACTGAATTTTCCAAGTTCTGAAACATGACCCAAATGCCTCCTTGGAAAAATGTTTTAAGGATCTGTAGCAAGGTTTCTGAATATCTTTATTTTATTTGTTTTTTTTAATTTCTAGGAGATAGAGAGAGAGACAGGATGAGCAGGGGAGGGTCAGAGAGAGAGGGAGTCACAGACTGAAACAGGCTCCAGGCTCTGAGCCGGCAGTCAGCACAGAGCCCGACGCCGGGCTCGAACCCACGAACCGCGAGATCATGACCTAAGCGAAAGTCCGACGCTTAACCGACTAAGCCACCCAGGCGCCCCTGAATATCTTTATTATGAGTAAAGTATTGACTCCTTGAAGATGGATTTGGTTTTTAGAAATTAGACATCATTTATTTGGTGCCATTGCTGGGGCATAAGATTGGATGTGGCTGTATATCGCATTTGGTCAAAAAGTGAACTCTGGAAGCAGTTTCCGGAGAGGAATGCTGAAACGTTTTGCTCCTTGGCTATTTAAAGTCCAGTGACTATTTGCGCATATAAATTAGGATGTGGTTGTTAAGTCACCTCATTTCTTTATAATTACCCCTCCCACTTGTTCCCTTGCTTCCTCTGAAGGTGTTAGAGAAAGAAGTCCACCTTTCATTGTATCCTTCCTGAATTCTGCATTTAAAGCAGACAGTAGAGGGGCTCCTGGCTGGCTCAGTCAGTGGAGCATGTGACTCTTAATCTCGGAGTCATGAGTTCGAGCCCCACACTGGGTGTAGAGGTGACTTCAATAAATAGATAAAGTTTAAAAGATAATAAAGTAGGCAGGGGATGTACTTTGCCTTGGTAAACTCAACACCCCAATCTCATGTCAGGTCAGGCAAAATGAGAGGGAAACAGAATGATGTGAGGAATTGCCATCCACTTTGCATATATGCTCATAAAGGCTAATTGAGATTAGTCTTTATGTTTTCTTAGATTCCAAGACCCTTGCTTGCTTGCTTTCCTTATTTCTTTCCTTCTTTCTTCTCTTTCTTTCACTCTTGCTGTGAGAAGACTACCATGTGCTTTTTAAATAAAAACAATCCAGTGAATTTACTTCATTAATTGTGTCTTGCTCACCTTTCTACAAATTCCCACTTTCTGGAGTCACACAGAAAGGTGAATTTGTTCAGCTTTAATTATAGGAATAGTTTTCATCATTCTGTAAATAAAAATGCTGCCACTCTGCTGTATCATGGAATCTCAGTTTAAAATTCGAACCATTATGAGAATAATTTAGTTGTAATCCAGTACAACCCAGGGTATGGGGCCCGGTGTCTCAGTCGGTTGAGCATCCAACTCTTGATTTTGGCTCAGGTCATGATCCCAGGGTCATGGGATCAAGCCCCATATCACACTCCATGGGTCCTGCTTAAAATTCTCTCCCTCCCTCTCTCTGTCCCCTCCCCCCAGCTCATGCTCTCTCTTAAAAAAAATCCCTTATAGGGGCACCTGGGTGGATCAGTCGGTTAAGCAACTGACTCTTGATTTTTATTTTGACTCAGGTCATGATTTTGACTCAGTTCGTGAGATCGAGCTGTGGGTCAGGCTCAGTCTGACAGCACAGAGCCTGCTTGGGATTCTCTCTCCTTCTCTCTGCCCTTCCCCTTCCTCATATTCACATGCACACTCTCTCTCTCTCTGTCTCTCTCTCTCACACACACACATACACACACACACACACACACTAAATAAAACATTTTTTTAAAAACGGCAATCTTTATTAATTTTATACATTCTTATATTGCATTGAGTGGAAATTTGCTAAAAATAAAGTCATATTAACCACAGTTTAGCCCCCGTAGAAATCTCTAGTGTCTTCTAACGGTAGGAAGTCCTGAGCTGCCCCTCTGCTGGCACACGGCACACTCAGCACACACCGCCCCCCTCAGGAGGGTCTGTCGCTTCCTCAGGGCGGTCGGTCACATAGAAGCCACGCCCCTCTACCGCCCGGTAGAGGGTGATGTACTCGGAAGCCTTCCTTGTCCTCGGAACCACGTACTTCTCCGTGAACTCACGCTTGTCCAGTTGCCCCTTGCCTTCTGCGGTCAGAACGCAGTTAATGAACGTGAGGGTGTAACTGTAGCAGTTGTGATGGTCTTCTTCATACCTTACAAAACAAGGGTGTTGAGGAGGGAAGGCTTAGATTTAAAAGCTGCTCACGGGGCCCCTGGGTGCCTCCGTCAGTTAAGCGTCTGCCTTCAGCTCAGGTCATGATCCCAGTTGGTGAGTTCAAGCCCCACATCAGCTCTGTGCTGACAGCTCGGAGCCTGGGGCCTGCTTTGAATTCTGTGTCTCCCTCTCTCTCTGCCCCTCCCCTACTCACACTCTGTCTCTCTCTCAAAAATAAATAAACATTAAACATTCTTTTAAAAATTAAAAAAGGCTGCTTAGGAACAGGCCATGAAGCTGCTGAAGGACTTGCAGAGTTGAAAGTGGGCTTTCAGTGCACTGGGCCCCTTTGTGTCCGACCCCCTTGGTGACAGAGCTCCCAGAGGTGCAGTTCTGAGGGACGCTTGGTGGCTTGGGCCATGTCCACTTGCAACTTAGATAAGATAGGAGTGGACATGTCTACATGTGCAGACTCACATTGTACAGAAACTGCCAGCTTTGGGAGCTGACGTTCTAGAAATGGAGCTCCACTTCCACGTTTTAGGGTATCCCAGTGTCTAAACTTAGCTTAAGGAGAGCCTCAAAACAATTTAGCTTCACAAGTATGCTATATATCTAAAGTGTTGAGGGAGCAAGAAATTGAGAAATAAATTTCAAATTTGCTAAATCAAAAAAAAAAAAGCGTTAGATATTTTTACATTTTAAACGATTAAAAAATGTTTAAGGGAATCAAATGGCTCTTGCTGTACATATTAAATGTTGAATGTGTAAAATACCTAGTCCAGTAACTGGAGTACTAAGCTATGGTCCTTTTAGTTCTTAAGATGCGGTGATTCTGGGGCCCCTGGGGGGCTCCGTCGGTTGAGCGTCTTTGACTCAGGTCATGATCTCAGGGTTCATGAGTTCGAGACCCACATCAGGCTTGCTGTTGTCACTGCAGAGCCCACTTTGAATCCTCTCTCCCCCCTCTGCCCCTCCCCCACTTACATGTTCTCTCTCTCTCTAAAATGACTATTTATTTAAAAAAAAAAAAAAAAAAGACGTTCTGCAGAAAACCCAAAGTAATGCGACCCCTGTTTAAACTTTGTTACAGGTACTACTAGCTTGGTACAGGCTCACCGTGAGCTAAACCGCTTAAGAGCCCTCCGAGCAGCAGTCACACGTGCGTGGTCCCTGCAGCCCCGTACCTCTGAGGCAGCCAGGCTCCCGAGGCGGAGAATTCTTCCAGGTACTTGTCCCACTGACCCATCAGTCCAAACATGCCAGGCTGCACCAAGGGGATGCTTACACTCTGCTCCCACCCTGCTTCGTCTCGCCGGACCCCGTGCGCGGTGTAATTATACACAACCCCTGCAACAAAACTGGAGTCACACGGAAGCCTAAGGGGAAACGCATCTCTGTCTAGACCCCGTGGGTTCAGAGGCTGAGCTTCCGGGGGAAGCCACCCAACCGAAACTCAGGATGCACTTTCGGATGACTGCCGCAGAGCAGCAGACCGAGAGGCCGCAGAATCTCCTGCAGGAGCAAGCCCGGGAGGCAGCCCCCCACCTGACAGGGAGCAGGTCCCAGGGCAGTGGAGCCTCTGCCTCCCGGGTGCTCAGCAAAGCTCTTCCAGGGAAGCTCGGTTCTGGCTCCACCTGTTCTTCCGCACCGTCAGGTTGGCCCCCAGGAAATGGAAACGACGACAGACGCCAGGATAATCATCTCCAAATATTTTTTGTTCAAGTTTTCTATTTACAAATGAGTCTGTCTTCTTCCCCTACATCCGCAATAAATCTCCCCTGGTGGACTGGGCGGTAAATTTGCTCATGTGGGTAACTCGGAGTTCAGAGGTCCAGTCCTGGGTTTCTGTTCACTGGTCAGTTTCTCCCACCTCGAGCAGGTGGAGAAAGGCTGCCGTCAGCCTTGACCTGCCGGGCCGTGATCACAGCCTCAGCCGCCTGGCTTGGCTCGCCGCCCCCAGGCCCACGGCCCCCTGTGACTGGGGGCCCAGGCCCTTTTCCTGCGGACCGGATGTTCTACCCACCACATGCCCAAGAGATCAGAAGACCTTCCTCTCTTTAAAAAACCAACAAAACAGGCATGGTGATACTCTTGGCTGAGAAAACATTAAAACTTTCAAATATTTAGCATCATCAGTAGTACTAAGTTACTGTAAAGTCAACTATTTCTCTCGTGGGGGTAGCATCCCCCACCTAACGGTACAGTATGAGCACCCAGGGGAAAGAGGAATTCCCCAAGTAAATGCTGTCATGATCACTTTTCCTCTAGAAATACCACTCTCCCCTAGCTAGAGATTGTGGGGACGTTTTAAGCTTTAAAAAACAAAAATCCGTGACGGTGCACTCACCATTTGTGTTGGTTATTCCAACGTGAAGGTCAGACCTTCCATCGTACTCCCTGAAAGAAACACGTTTTGTGTTTTTTCTCATTTGCACACGACTGGCGAGAAGAGTCCGTATTTAAGGTAGGAGAACGATCATGGCCGGTGCCAAAACTTAGCATCAGTGGCCACGTGAGTGGAAGCAGTTTCAAAACTGGTTGAGCCAAGAGTACATGTGAGGTAGAAAATACCCCCCCCGGCCCCCAGCTGGATTTTCTTGCCCCCCACTCCCCGCAAGGCGGTGGCTGGAGGGCCAGTGCTGCTGGAGCATAAAGTCAGCTTGACTCGTCTGCCCAGCCGAGGGGCGCAGCAGGCAGCCACGTGCTGAAGTGGCTCCTCATTCTTTGCGCCTGTAGGTGAGCTTACAGGCTGACCGGGGAGAGGATCCTGAGTGCATCTCAGTGGCTTCTACCTTCAAAACTAAAGGAGAGTCTTTTGGGCTTTAGAGCCACACCCACTTTTCTTGGAGAGCCCTTATTTCCTGAAATTACTCTTTACCTGAGACTGTTCATTAAATCTATGATTCCAAATGATTTAACCTTGATGTACAATCCCAGGCCGTCACTTACTAGCACGGGGACGTTAGCAAGTCACTTTCTCTCTCTGATCTCAGTTTCCTCATCTGGAAAATGGGAATATCATAAACCTCCTAGCAAGCTGGTTGCAAGAATAAAATACCTGTTGAGTGCCTGCCATGTACAAGTGTTGAATGAATCAGAGGTTATTGTTGGCTCATTTGGTAAGTGTCCAACTTCAGCTCAGGTCATGACCTTGCGGTCCGTGGGTTGGAGCCCTGCATCCGGCTCTGTGCTGGCAGTTCACAGACTGTGGCCTGCTTCAGATTCTGTGTCTCTTTCTGTGCCCTGCTCAGGTGCTCGCTCGCTCTCTCTCTCTCTCAAAAATAAACATTAAAAAATGTTTAATACTGGGGCACCTGGGTGGCTCAATTGGTTGAGCATTCAACTTCGGCTCAGGTCATGATCTCACGGTTCGTGGGTTCGAGCCCCACGTCGGGCTCTGTGCTGACAGCTCAGAGCCTGGAACCTGTTTCAGATTCTGTTTCTCCCTCTCTCTCTGACCCTCCCCTGCTCACACTCTCTCTCTCTCTCTCTCTCTCTCAGAAATAAATTTTTTAAAAAAACATTAAAAAATTTTTTTTAATTTTAATACATAAATCAAAGGTTATTGTTAAATGATAAAGCTCCTTCATCAGACCGTAGGTTCCCCACTAAAGCGAGCAGTCCGAGGCTTTAAGATGACTGAGAACACAAATGGCTGCACCACCTTCTGAGTGACCCCCCAGGTCATCTCGTTGCAGCCGCTTTGAGGGTTTTGAGACCCTCTGGGTTCAGAGGATAAGAATGAAGCTGAGCGACACAGTAAGAGTCTGATTGTGGTGCCGCACTTACCCCATGATCTACCCGAAGATCACTGCGTGAGCGTGTCACTGTGCTTTGTTTCCTGCCTAAATCCTAGGTGTTCCTCCTCCCCCCATCCTTCAGTTATTTCTCAGTCCGGCAACAGATGTTTATTGGGTGTGAACTGTGGGCCTGTCATTTGAAGCAAAAGGCTAGTAGCACAAGGAAATAAGACTGACAAGGTCTCCGTCCTCTTGGAGTTTGCTTGCTTCCAGTGAAGACCTTTAGTTTAACAAGCTTTTAATAGATAAGTGCTCTAAAGGGGAAAAAATATAGAATGTTACAGCAGCATGTCATGGGGGCAGTGGCAGAGCCACCCCTCCCCCATACAACTCTTGTGCAAGTTAAGAAAAGGTTTCTCTTTTTCTTGCAGATGCAGCTCTGCCCAGCAGGTTTTGCCTCCTAGGTATAGGGTGTACTGAGTTTCAGGACCCAAAATCACCTTGGCAAAGCACCTTTGTGCAGTCTACAACCTGTACAACCATATGTGGCAGCCCTGAGAGATCTTCACTTAGTTTGATGAGAACCTCACTGATTTCTTTGGGTCATTGAAGGCTCCCTTTTACAAAGTAGGTGAAATTGTCTCAAGGTGAATAGCGGGAGTCAGTCCTGAGAGTTTGGAAATTGGATGAGAGAGAAAGGAACAGTTTAGAAGTTGGCCTTAGAAGGTCTGGTGGGCAGGGGACTACTTGGAGTTCTGAAGGTCCTGGCCTGAGAGGTTGGGAGGGATGCTGTTTCAACACCACCACCTCCCTTCTGCCAATGCCAAGGAAGGCCAGGCCCATAAGGATCGCTACATCACAGAGTAAATAAATGCTTATTAGGGGCCAACCCGAAAGCCTGTCATGTTCTAGAGAGCAGGGCTGTGCCTCATTCACTGTGACATCCCTAGCATTTCCCACACACAGATGCTTGGTAAGGATGTGTTGAATGAATCAATGTTATAGTGAATGAATTCTGAACTTTAATCCCTTTATTCAAAAGCTTTCAGAATCCAGCCAGTTAATGTTAGCAAATTAGCATGAATGAGGGGATCTCACGAAACAGTTTGGGCTTCATGATTTAGATACGGGAAAGGAAGTTTCTGCCAGTTCTGAACGGAGTATGAAAAGAATAGCATGGAAAGGAGCATGGTGGCTCAACTTTGTGACTGGGCCATGTTTATCTGCCTTCTCACTGCCCCTCACCACCCTGCAAGGTCAGCAGGACCCTCATTTTGTGGATGAGGAACAGAGACTCCAGAGGGTCTGGAGCTGGTCTGAAAACAGGATAGGAATTGGGGGCTTTGTGGCACCATGGCCTGCACTACTCTCTCTGTATCCTTTGACCTCCAGGAAGGGTCAGGGATGCAAAACTCTGCAGACTTTGCTTCGTTTCATCCACAGAAGGAAAGGAAGGAAAGCAATTAAGGAAGTTGGTAGGCAGGGAAATAAATAGACAGATCCAACCGCCTTATCCCAAACCAGCGCTCTTGAGGGCACATGAGTATTGGGAGAGGGGAGGTCTCGAGGGCTAGGATTCTCGGCATTAGGCCACAATGATGCTCACGAACACGCTTCCTAAAGCACGTGCCATCGTTCCTCAGCATCCGTGCCCTCAACACCGGGCTCATACTGGGCTGCTTCCTTTGGAACTCCACAGGGACACTAAGGGGGTAAGGTCCTTTCCTTTGATTTCTGAAATCTTTCTTAAAGGCAGGTGGCATCCACAATTGAGGCAGACCAGCTCTGGTCTTCACCTTAACTCACCACCACGCAGAATAGTCTGTATGTGGCCATTCTTCAGGCTTTTGTGCAAGGTACCTGCTTGTCACAGAAATTACAGGCTCACTCGAAGTAAAGGAATTATTTTGACTGGAGTAGCTGCTGGGTCACTTTCCCAGTTAGCCTCTTGGCGCAAACTGTATGGGTAAAAAAAAGCTCCAAGCTATCAGTTTTCCTCTCTTACGATTGTATAAGCAGGTTTGACCTTCACATAGTCATATATTCTTGCAATTACGCTCTAGGAAAGTACCTACACCATCTATCTTTATGAAATGAGTAGATCTTCATTTTAGGATTTAATGCCCAAACACTGGCGAGATTATCCACTAAGCCTCACACTGGGTAGTACGTGTTAGAACGTTTTGGGGACTACAACACAAAAGGAAAAGTTTACAGAATGCAATGTAACACTTAAGCACTGTACCTAAGAAACGTCCCTTGGGTCGGTCGGAGGAGGAAGGAACACTGTTCTTGATGCCCATTGGTAAACGGATTGGAGATGCTCACAGGTGCTTCCTCCAGCTTCCTCGAGCCCATGACCTGCTGGCAGAGGGGGCAGCACTGGGGCACGCTGAAGCTGTAGATGTATTTCTTACAGTGGTTGAATTTAATTAAAGGCTTTCCAGCCTCTGCAGGGTGCATGGCTTCCCCCTCCCGGGCAACCAGCGATGGCTTCCCGAGACTTCCTTTTCGTCGTTACCTGGCTGGCAAAGGTACGCCTCCCGAGGAACCTGACCGACAATGACGTCATTCTGATTGACGGCTTCGGAAGCCAAACCAAATAGGATTAACCCGTTACCAGACTGCCCCATAAACTGGTGTCTTAAAGGGCTACTTTTCTTTTGTGCTCACTGACAAAGGTTCTTTCCAGCCTTGGACGCTCTGCGACTGTCGACTGGCAGCTCCTGCTCATATTTAAAGCCCCACTTTTCTGTGAAACTTGCCTTCACTTCCCCGACTGGTCCCTTGCGCTGTGGGACTAGATTCACGCTTCTACCAGGGCTCTGATACTTGATTAGTCAGTCATTAGCCTGTGAGCTTCTCGGAGTTAAGAACCCACATTCACTTTTGTGTTTCTAGAATAAGTTATGTTGTTTTGATATTGGATAAATACAGGAATGAAATTCGTGGAGGCTGTTTTCCTTTGATGTTTTATATTGTAGAAGTAATCTTGCTCATAAAAAATTAACAGCACAGTTAGAAATGGGTGGGGGAACTGACTGGGAGAAGACATGAGGGAGTTTCGGGGGGTCTGGAGCCGTTCTGACTCATGATCAAAGGTTTGATTGTATGAGAGTTTGTGAAATTTTTGTGACAATACCTCAGGCTGGACATTTTACTACAGGCGCTATATGATTCTTCAATTTTAAAATAATTTTGAGAAACTGCACAAAAATGTAAGGAAAAAAGGTAATGTCTTCTGTTCCATAACATTTATCCACTCATCAAATCCAGTTCCCTTAGAAAACGAATGTTACGTTAAATGAAAATTTCCATAGTTTTTAAAACCCTCACCGTTGTTATGCAGCAAACATTTGGAATGTGTATATTTTTCTCATTTTGGAAATGTATCTACAATCTACATCCTACCCAGATGATTGCAAATGAATCCATAGTTTGGTTGCACCACACTTTTTTTTTTTCTGTTAAGTAATCTATACACACCACGTGGGGCTTGAATTCACAGCCCCGATTGAGAATCATGCGCTCTACTGACTGAGGCAGCCAGGCACCCCTACACCGCACTTTATTCAGCCAAACCCCTATCAATGCCTATAGTTCCAGAGAAAATCAATGGAAGAGGGAAGACACACAGAGAATGTATCATGGCGGGTAAAGTCACTTCGGAAAAGCATTTCATAGCATACATTTAAGTAAATTACAGGATGCTGAAATGCAGAAAAATGCATAGTAAGTGTTAGTGATATGAAAATGATCGTCTGACTCACAGAACTATAAAAGACCTCAGAAATCATTTCAACCATCTTCTCTTACAGGGAAGGCAGACAGGCTATGACTACATGCTCAGCTCAGATGGGAGATTCTTCATTATTCATATAAACCACGCAGCTCTTGCTCGAGTGTTTGAGTGGCCCCAGTTACTGTCAACTGAGAATGTATTCATCTCCATGACAGCGATACCAAGAGGTATTTTTAACCTTATGAAAAGGAACTGATAAACATGTTTAATACACTAGCATTCTCTTTAAAAAAAAAAAAAAAAAAGAGGCATCTTAAATCCTTTTTTACCTTATTTTCTCCGTTTCTAAAGTATCTTCTTATGGTAAAATAAAACATAGATATAGATGATTACCCAAAGCAAATGTATGGTTTAATGGAGTACTTTACTGGGAACCCCTTTTAAGTATCACGCAAGTCAAGAACTAGAACTTTTCTAGCCATCTCAGAAGCCCCTCCCATGTCCATCCCCCTCTCTTCCTCCAAAAGCGATCCCTACCCTCACTTTTATACTCATCACTCCTTGTGTTTCATTTTGGTTTCCTCACCCAGGTGTCATCCATAGATATTGTGGCTTAGTTGTATCCATTTAAACATTCTTGGTGTGTGTTTTAAGTTTTGGTTCCCTTTCCTTCCCTTGATTTTTCTCATCATATGTCTGTGAAATATCCAAATCATGGGGCCTGTAGCATCTCCTACAGTCTGCTGTTTCTGACTCCTTCCTCAGAGCTCAGATCAGCACACTGCTCTGCCCTCCATACAGCTGGCGGAGATCAGATCCACTTGACAAGACTGTGCGTAGTGCTGTGTTCTCTCACCAGAGGCACATCACATCTGGTCTTCACTCTTTTTTGCTCTTGGTTCCCATTAATCTCAGTGCCTAGAGATCCATTCATTCACTGGCAGTGGTACAGTGATGTTATTCTATCATGTTGTTTTCGTATATTAACTGGAATGAGTGTATGAGGAGATGCTTCCCCTCAGCTATTACTTATTTATGCAGTGGTACAGGTATACTGGAAAGATCGGATATGTGCCTGACTCCTTATTCACATTTCAAGATAATGACGACATCTCTGACATACTCAGAAAGTGCCCAGTTAGTTTCATATAGTTTTATTCTAGTGTCACTTAATGAACTCTTAGATATAAACATATTGGTTGGCCTTCAACTCAATGCAGTTTTTATTCTTACTGAAGCTCAGACTTCAGTCCCATATGGGCCTCTTTAATTGGCTCTTGAGTCCTTTTCACTTGAACTTGGTAGTCTCTGATGATTTCCTTGCTATCTAGTCCATCAAGATGTTCCAGGTTCATCTCAGACCTTCCCCTGAGCCCAGACCTGGAATCAGCCATTTCTCCAAGAAGCCCTGATTTCTTTCTTTCAGTGGGAAGTGGTATTTCAATCCCACTGAGGATGTATTGGTTATTTGTTTCTCCACCTTTTCAGCGAACAAAGTGGGATTAACAAAAAGTTCATCCTCACATGTACACACACACAGATAAAATACTTCATGAGTTCATACTGCTGTTTCTTTTTTTTAAGTTTGTTTATTTTGAGAGAGAATGCACAAGTGAGTGATGGGCAGAGAGAGAGAGAGAGAGAGAATCCCAAGCAGGCTCCACACTGTCAGTGCAGAACCTGATGTGGGACTTGAACCCACAAACTGTGAGATCATGACCTGAGCCAAAGTCAAGATTGGGATGCTTAACCTACTGAGCCACCCAGGCACCCCTATACTGCTATTTCTAATTTAAACTCAGGACTACAGGGTTTTTACTTACCCTCTTCTATATTACATTCTCATTTCTTTTCTTCCCCGCTGAAAATTTTGGTTCTTCAGGATACAGAGGATTACAAATTAGAATGTTCCATAATCACTCATTTGCTAATTCTCTTTTGCATATACAACAGTCACGGGATAAAAATAGTAATATACCACCTCTGATTATGATTACTAAATAGAGTTAAATGTTGTTTTTGCATATACTCTCCTCATCTTCATTGTTTAAATGGTGTTTCTAGAAGCACCTTGGTGGCTCGGTCAGTTAAGCATCTGACTCTTGATTTCTGCTCATGGTCATGAGATCAAGCCCCATGTTGGGCTCCATGCTGAGCATGGAGCCTGCCTAAGATTCTCCCTCTCCCTCTCCCTCCCCCACTCACACATATGCTCGCTCACTCTTTCTCTCAAAATATAACTAAAAAAACATATGTATGTATATATATATATACATATACACACATATATACATACATATATACACATATATACATACACACACACACACATATGGTGGTTCTATGTCTTCATGGTCAGAACATCTACCATTGTAAACAGTAATCCCCTTTAATCGCAACTAATGCTTAATTCTACACACAAACTCATATTTACTGGTCACTGTTTGTATTTTCATCACTCCTCAGTGGTTATGGTTGTCTGAAGTTCATTCTCTAAAAGATTCCTTAGGGCTTACAAGAAGAGTATTCCCTAAGTTTTTGCATGATAACAATTTATCTCTGTTCTTCATACTTGGAAGGTCAGTTTTGCTAGATATAGAATCCTTGGCTCACATTTTCTTTAATGTATCATTCCATTTTCTTCTGGCATAATGCACTGCCATCCAAAAGCCTGATGACAAACTAATCTTCTTTCTCTCATAAGTCATGTGTTCTTTTTTGCCAATATGGCCAGATGGTGTTTCTTTCTTTTTAAGATCAACACTTTCATTACAATATGTCTTTTTTTTAATGTTTATTCATTTTTGAGAGACAGAGAGAGACAGAGCGTGAGAAGGAGAGGGGAAGAGAGAGAGGGAGACACAGAATCTGAAGCAGGCTCCAGGCTCTGAGCTGTCAGCACAGAGCTCCGTGTGGGGCTCAAACCCATGAACTGTGAGATCATGACCTGAGCAGAAGCCAGATGCTTAACTAACTGAGCCACCCAGGTACCCCTACCTAACCTAAGCTTAGTACATTTGCATCACCCCAAAAAGAAAGCTCCTGCTTATTTGCACTCGCTCTCTACAGCTCCTGGCAGCCAGTAGTCAGCTTTCTGCCTATGGATTTGTCTAACTGGACGTTTCATATAAATGGAATCATACAATGTGATCTTTTGTAATTTGGCTTCTTTCACTTAGCCTCAAGTTTTCAAAGTTCACCAGTGTTGTAGCATGTATCTGTTTTTTATAATAGTACATTACCTCTTGTGTAACCATTCATCAGTTGATGGACATTTGGGTTGTTTCCACTTCTTGGCTGTTATGAGTAATGCTGCTACAAACAAATTTCATACTCATGTACAAGTGTTTGTATAAATGTATGTTTTCAATTACTTTGCTTATACACCTATGAGGGGATTTCTGGGTCACATAGTAATTCTATGTTTAACATTTCGAGGAACTACCAAGAGTTTTTTTTTCAAAATGGCTGCATCAGTTGGCATGCCCATCAGCAATGTATGATGGTTCCAATTTCTCCACATCCCCAGCTCTTGCTATTGTCTGTATTTCTTATTTTCACCATCCTAGGGGTTTTGAAGTGGTACCTCTTCAACTAATGACTAATGATGTTGAACATTATTTCATGTGCCTACGGGCCATTTGTATGTCTTCTTTGGAGTAATGTTTATACAAATCCTGTAATTAAAAATTAATAGTGGATTATCTTTTTATTTTTGACTCACAAGAGCTCTTTATATATTCTGGAGGTACATTC